CCTTTGTGCCCATGTTCTCTAGGGTTTTTTACCTGCTCTAATGACAGAGGCAAGTAGTTGCACGGTACTCATCATGACTGACAGGATTTGCCTAAAAATCTTTGGCCTTTAATAGAAAAGAATCTTTGGTCTTTAATAGAAAAGAATTCCAGTTCTATCTTGAAAATATTTTTGGGTCAGCATCATTAATAACAGAAACTCCCTAGTGTATTTTGCATCAGGAAGGTACATTCTCCTCACTGGGTCCAGATTACCAAAACTCTTGACTGTTTTTTGCATATGTCTATAAGGCAGATTTTACACATATTTTCGTTACTAATATGGTTGAATTTAGGGTGCCAAATTTCCTTTACTTATTTGTTCTTTAACCCTTTTTCCCTCTTTGCTTTGATTTTTTTAATCTATGATGTCTCTATTTTATTGGTTTATAGTATGTATCTTTAAACTATCACAGTCCACCTTCAAGTAATATTATGCAAACTAAATATAATGTATGAAACATTCAATAGTATATCCATCTCCCTCTCCTGGCCTTTGTGCTATTGTGGTCAGACACTTTTCTTTTCCAACACATTTATAAACTTTATAGTACATTGTTTTATTTTTGCTTCAAATAGTTTCTTATTTTGTAAAGGGTTTCAAAATTTTTAAATAATAAAATTATTAAAATATTTATATTATTTAAAAAAACCCAGGTACTATTTGAGTCTGTTTATTCTTTGTGCAGACCTAGTTTTTTTATATGAAACTTTATTATATATGCCTTTAAATTTACTTTTTTTTTTTGTCTTTTTGAGACAGTCTCTCAGTGTAGCCCCAGCTGGCCTGGATGCTATGGAGACCAGACTGGCCTTGAACTCACAGAGATCCACCTGCCTCTGCCTCCCGCGTGCTGGGATTAAAGGCGTGCACCACCACACCCTGGCCCAAATTTACCACATTTTTTTATGTAAAAGGATTTCATTAACATGTACAGCAGTGGTGTTGAATTCTTTTAGCTTTTAATGCCTGAAAACCTTTATCTTTGTTTTTGAAAGAGATTTTTGCTGGGTATAGAATTCTAAGCTGGCAGCATCTTTTAATATCTAACAAGACTTGGTTTTAAACTGTTAGGACCACTCAGGAGTCTTCAGTCTTAAGAACTTTCTCAGTACTCCGAGGGGTCCTGCAAGGTTTTCTCCTTCCACTGGGTGGGGTGCAGACTGCTCCTGTCCTACCTGAGCTGGAGGATTCTCTCCTAGCCTCAGGTGCTTTCCCACAACTGTGCTAAGTACTGCTAAGTACTCAGGTCTCTCTGGACCTCTTTCCCTCCAGCACTCTGCCTTGTGAGCTGTAGTTACTTTGGTCTGCCTATCGCTGCTTTCGCAATTCAGAGGGATGCTGAGCCCTACTGGGGCCCACTTGTTGTGACCTGGACAGTCTCCAGGCAGTGAGGTAGGTGAAAACGATGCTTGCTTTCCTTCTCTGGGAAGGTTTACTCTACTGCCTATTGTCAAATATCTAGGAAACATATTTTATTGGTTTTAAAAGTTATTTAAGGCTAGATGGTAAAAGTAGATCTACCTTACTGCTCCAACATAGCTGAAATTTCATATGGGAATTTGGAGCTGATAGGAAAAATAGACACATTATTGCAGGTATGTTTTGGGAACATTGCATGCCAATTTATTTAGGCGTTCTAAATCTTCCAGTGGATTTGATCACCTGTTGCATTCGTTTTTCTCATTGCTGTGACAGAATATATGCATTCGAAACCCAGGAGAGATTTATTTTGGGACTTGATTCAGGGGATATAGTTCATCCTGGCCTGAAGGAATAGCAGTGAACCAGGTCCTGTTTGTGGCTGTGGAAGGCCATTTGTTCCCCTTCAGTAGACCAGGATACCTTTGATTGTTATTCCATGCATTTGGAGTTAATGGAGGAATGTGACTTCTGCAAAGTTCCCTTTTTATTCAGGCTGGGACCACAGTCCACAGATTGGTGCCACACAAATTCAGGGTAGATCTTCCTCTTCAGTTAATCCTGAGAAAGCCCTCATAGACACATCCAAAGGTGTGTCTCACTAATGCCCAGGGTGTTTGATTCAATTAAGCTGAAAAATGAACAATCATATCCATTCATATTGATGTTGTATTTAAAAGCATTTGTGGGGGCTAGAGAGATGGCTCAGCAGTTAGAACTGGATGCTTTTGCAGAGAACCCAGGTTTGATTCCCAGCACCCAAACCACAGCTAACCACCATCTAAAACTCCAGTTCCAGGCGAATCTGATGCCCTCTTCTGCTGTTCATGGGCACACATGTCACGGGTGCACTTACATGCTGGCAATACACTCATAGACATAAAGAAAAATGTGTAAGTCCTTTGTCTTGGAAGAATCTGACTTACCCTGCAGTAATTTAGGAAGAGAATTTTAAGGCCCTGGAGCTTCTGCTTTTAGGTCTACTCTCTTCTTCCCACCTCTGGATCAGAAGATAACCTATTCTAGATCATTCTTCCATGATGGCAGAAAGCCTCAAGCAACTCTGGACTTGCAGAGTGAGGTGCAGGAGTGGATGAGGAAGAGTTGAACCTTCTTCTACCCAAAGATAGAAAGGGCTTGGCGCTGCTTCACCCTGGCCCACCTTACCTGATGCCATTTTCTTCGTCTGTTTTAGGGAAGGAGGAACTTTGAGAAGTAAAAGCTGAGGCTGTGCTCTTGGTGTGCTGGCTCTGCCATCATTTTTTTATCTGCCTGTGGGGCCACTCCACCTACCTTCTTTGACAGATGGTTACTGATGCACAAGGAAAATAGTCATCTCTAATAATATCCCTGGATGAACAGGCATTTGAAGGCTACTGAGGGAAGTTGGGGACGTATGTTCTAAATGTCAGATGACCAATTTAGAAGCAAACTTGGAACGTAATTCCTTTCCCAGTTGAGAGCTGTCTGTCCTAACAAAATCCGTCTCTTAAGAGTAATGACAGCAATAATGGAGGCCTCAACTGACTACAGTTGACACGGGATGGATAGACATCCACCCTAAGTAAAGAGTTGGTTAATTATAGTCTTAACATGTTTATAGACTTTGGTTAATCTTCTAAGTATATGCAACTCTGTCACCTACAATGGCTCACAGAGTTTGAGCAGGACCTCTCAGAAGTCACACCCTTCTCTTAACTCTGGGTAACTAAAGACTCAAAGGGCTGGTGGATTTAGCTTCTTTTCATTACCCTGCTATGTGGAGATCAACTTATATAAAACATCTGAGAAATGATGCAGCAAATAAAACAGTGACAGATTTAAAACTATTTGACAGTACTCCCTAGTCCTCACCCTCATACTTAGCCAAACTGTCATATGCATCTAACACCCTTGTCTAGAGAGGGTGGGTGTATTCAGATTTTCTGACAGCATTCAGTTCCTCATTGGAACTTTGATCCCCTCTCTGGAGGTTGCATTGACAAAAAATCATGCTAGCAACTCAACAAAATGAAATATATTTGGATGCCCTGGAGATCCAGCCCATCCCATGCATAGCACATGGTGGTTCAGGGGCAGATACCTGGCTGGTTCAAATTGCTCAGACTCAGCGACAGGCCAATTGGTTCAGTCCTGGTACACATTAGCTTACCTGCAGAAGCACCTCAAATGAGACCAGTCAGATGTTTGGGGCCACATCCCAGCATGGCTGTTTTATATTCAACAGATCATTGTAATGAGCAGCCAAGACTGAGCCAATACTGTAGATCAAGGAAGTGGTAGCCACTGTGTCAATTTTCAACATTCCAATATTCATGCAGAACAGATTTCAGTTGATAATACAGAGTGGTAGCTAACTAACTCATGTTCCCAAGGGCTTCACCAAGCATAGAACTGCCCATTTCTCTAGTGTTTAGTGTAGATGACATGTGCGTATGTGAGCCCTTTAGTTCTGCTTCCTTGTTATATTGAGTTTAGACTTTCTACTCTCTTCACATTCCCAACCTTCTGCAAGTACCACTCCATTGTTTATCTCAAACCCCAAATGCATGTTCTCTCCCATTCAGAAAAAAACCCAGTGCCCTTTTCTGCACAGAGTCTTTGATGGCCAGGCTAGAGAGAATTGCTCAAGTCAAACTGTCCCTGGAGGTCTTACAAGGCCCCAAATGACCACTGCTGTGTGGCTTCTAAGTCTGCCTGGCTAGCCTGTAGGTTACTCCCTCTGGCCAGAAGCCCCCACTCAACCATTATCTTCCCAATAAAGCCTCTGATCTCCCTGCTCCTCTCCTCATCGCCTGGTCTTCACTGCCTTTGTGCCAAAACACATTGTTTGCAAGTCTCAAATGCCTGGTATATATAATGAGTACTAAAATAAAGTCACTTAATTAGCAAATTTCACTTTTACTCCAAAATATGAGCAAGAACAATTCTTTTCTCTGTTTAGTTCTGTGGTTTCTTTAAGGACACTGCCTAGCATGGTATATTCAACAGAAAAAGTTTTGGACAGATTAGGGTTTAAAACTCCACTGTACAGGTCTACAGAGATGGCTCAGTGGTTAAGAGCACTGGCTACTCTTGCAGAGGACCTGGGTTTAGTTCCCAGCACCCACATGGCAGCTAACAACCATTTGTAACTGCAGTTTCAGGGGATCTGATGTCCTCTTCTGGCCTCTGCAAGCACCAGGCATGCATGTGGTACAATTACATTCAGGCAAAACACTCAAACACATACAATATTTTTGAAAATTACAACTCCTCTGTACCACTCACTGGCTATAACTGTTTTCTCAGTAGTGAAATGAGGGTGGTAATTCCTCAGTTGTCTTGAGGATTAGACATGATGCCTGCAGTATCCTGGCCCATGGTAGAACTCAGCATCATCTGTCACCATCATCACAACAAAGGCTGTTCTGCTTGGAATCATGTGGAACCATTACATTGTCCTAAATACACTCCATTATGGAACATAAGTGCAGAAAGAAAATATACACTGCTTCATGTTTCTTGCTTAATTGAGAAATCTAATAATAAAAGACACCTTAAAGCCAAAAAAGTTAACTTTATTGACTGCTCTTACCATGAAACACCTATAAGAAATAATTACAAAATAATGCAGTTTTTACATACTTTTAGTTATCATCCAATATGATCCTTTCACAGAAAGGATTATTTACAGCTTATGTAGATATAAAGCTCAATGTTGCAAATACAAATGATGTGGAGAGGCAGCATGGACCAACTGGTGTACTTACCAGCAACGCATATGTAACAAGTGCAGAATAAATAACAGCGTTATACTATTCTTTTCCTTTATTTTTAAAAACAAATTTCCAAATACAAAATGTGGATTATCCAAAATGAATTTTCATACACATGTCTATATATAATTCTACTGCTGACCACGGATCAGAAACCAAAAATAATCCCTAGCATGTTTCATTTCTGAAAATCTGTAAGAATATTCATAAATCCCATTAGAAAGAGGGTGTGCAAAACACCAATGCCAACAAAGCCCTGAAGTCTGGATTGTGGACGGAGCAGAGTGCAAAGAAAGTACAAAAATGACCTATTCAATTAAGCAACTTTTGTCTTTATATCTGTAAGAAATGCTTCGGGCTATGGAAACTCTGCATAGAGACCTGGGTTCTGCAGAGCACAGACTTCAACAGCTGTCTCCTAAACATCCCTAAAAAATGGCAGATTACTTAACTAGTAATTAAAATCATTAAGCAGTCCCTTCAGACTTTTATCCTTTTGTAAGGACACAGATATACTTTTATACATTCTGATATCTGAAACTTTGGTTCTTTTAAAGCATTTGACAAAAGCAAAATAATTTTATGAACACAGAACTACACAGAACCTTTTTTCCTTTTAAAGTGTCAGGTGAAAGTAACCAGGTGGGGTTCTGCTGGTGCCGCCTGCTCGGGAGGGCAGGGCGGACGTGCTCCTGGCACCTGCCGTAGGTTTATAATACTGACACCCATCCACAGGGAACACTGCTTATGTTCTGCTCTACCCTAAATCTATTTCTTCGTTACTTGAAAACATAATTTGGTACAAAAATATGAGCTTCTTTAGAAAATAATATATAGTTTTTTTTAATAAAACTTGTCGGATAGCAAAAATGGTATATCAAAATATGGTAAACAAATGTTGTAAAATACTAAATCATTAAAAACATCTCATAGAAAGACATTGTGCTATGAAGTTCTCTCCTGAAACATGAGCAAATTTTCACTGTACATCAAAAGTTGATCAACTCATTCTCCTGACTTGGTTTCATTATACACTGTAACAGCAGTACGGCAGTAACTATCCTAAAAATGGCCCATTCTCAGATGTGAACATCCTTGGTCTACTTTTACTTCATAATGAATAAAAAGACAGTCCTCGTCAGTGGTTTCTAACCCTGCTTTCCATTAGCTCCACTTGGGAAACTCAAAGGAAAGGCAATTTCACTTGCGCCTCACCCACAAGCTGCTGATTTAATTGGCCTGGGTGGGACCCAGACATTTTTAAAAGCTCCCTACACAGTTCTATTATGCAACCAGGGTTGAGAATCATGGCCAAAGGCACATGAGAAAAGTCACTCTTCACTTCACATGTATCATCTGATTGTCTGCGGCTACCATTCTTCCCATGATGTATCTTCAACATTAAACAAGGAATTCTATATATGCAAGATAGTCATGGAAGTCAAAATGAAGTCAGTAAGCTTTAAACACACACAGTCCCATGTATCTATACATGTGTAACATACACATATAGTTAGGATATGTATCTTGTTTAAGCAGAAACTAGCATTACCATAATTTGTTGACCATAATTAAAAAACAAGAAAAAAAAGTACCACCAAACATATAAACATCTCCAAAGACATTTCCATTGTTTTAACACATACCAGTATTGTAAACTCTGCAAAATGCACCATGTCATGAGGACAACTGAATCCCAGAGCTTTCCAGAAGAGTAAAACAGTGGACATGGCATTGGTTAGGCATGAAGGAGCCACAGGTGTCCCAGCACATATCTTCTGGACTCTGAGCGGCGCTTCTGTTACATTCGCATCTTTGGCTGGAACCACACGACCCCAACGACTTCGTCAGTGTTCACTTTGGGACAGCCTCATGAGGCAGCAATGGCTGTGTTCTAAGAATGGCTCTCCATTACAGAGAAAACTTCCCTCTCTCCTCCCAAAAAACACTGAGCATTTCATGAGGGAGTAGCTAAAAAATTGATAAGCACACAAGCCTAACATCTTCCACGTGATAAAAAACTGTATCAGAAGGAGAAAACAACCGATGAGCAAACACCACAGTCTAACAGTCTCAAAGCTTCATAAGCAGTAAGCACACTTCCTTCCAAAGGGTCATAAACATCTGGGTGCTTGTCTTTCTGTACATTCTCTGTACTTCATTCGCCTCTGCATGAAACTTAAAGTGCAATTGTCCCAAGGCTTTATTTCCATCACAAATATTATAAAGAAAGAGCTAAGTTTGGGGTGAAAAAATATGGCACAATATGTAAAGAACTGAGGACTTCCACACCTCCAGCAAACAGCAGCCACACGCAAGCGGGCTTTATACAACAAACTCCGGAACCTCATCATGGGTGAGATCCAGAGAAAAGTATTTGCTGGTTCTCTTGACAGGAAAAGCATCTTGGATGTTGACACACTGCTGAGCCAAGCAGCTGTTGCAGTAGAGGCCCTCCTCGTCCAGTTCATGGCCACACCCGAAAGTGTAACTCTGAGCGGTGTCCTGGCACAGACCCGCAATGCGCAGGAAGTCTTTCTGGTACAGTCTGATGTCGTCAAGGCTTAGGCTATGTCGATCAGTGGAAGTCTTTGGTTTTCGACATATAGTCTGCAAAATAAGGGAAGGCTGAAAATATGCAATACAGACTAAGTGGAAAGTTAACATGTTTGTCCAGGAGAGTTGCTGCCAAGTCATAAAATGGGAACTGAACTAATCCTTGTGTGTTACAAAGTTGCTTCCAATCTGTGGCTGTAATGTTTACCGAGCACCTCCAATATATTTGGCCTGACTCAAACACAAGGCCAACATAAGCTGATTTAACATTCCTCCCAGTGCACAGTCAACTCGAGGACACACAAGAAATTCTATTCAAATCCAACTTCCAGCAATTCCGAAGTCAAGCAGTTACCCCCAAGGAAAGATACAAAGGTAAAAATACTGGTTTCTCTTAAGATATGGTGGCTGAACTTGGTAACACTCTTCCTGCTCAGGTCTATTAAGATTTCAGTAAGAAATGGTTTAAAAAGCTCTTGACCACTCAGAGAGGTCATGTCCTGCCAAATGCCATATGAGAGTAGCAGACTTATACTGGATAACTCAGATAACAACATAAATGGAAGACACTTACTGGGTTATTTAAGGAAATCAGGCATTGAATCTCTCACTTTTGTTGGCTTAATAAGACAGAAGATACCTTGTTTGAAAAAGATAGCACTTTGCTAGACATAGAAGTTGTAGGAGCAAGCTGGGTGTGGTGGCACATGCATTTAATCCCAGCATTCAGGAGGCAGAGGCAGGGGGATCTCCGTGAGTTCAAGACCAGCCTGGCCTACATAGCGAGTTCCAGAACAGCTGGGGCTACAGGGAGACCCTGTCTCAAAAAGACCAAGAAAAAAAAAAAAAAAGTTGTAGGAGCACATTTGCTAGGAAATGTCATGTCAGAGGGACATCTACTGCACAGGATGACCCCTTACACCAATAATCTTCCCTGGCCTCAAAGGGACCTCACCGTGGAATTCTTGTCATTACCACAAACCCTCCAGGTAACAAATGTGTCATAGGTATGGAGTCTGATTCTCTGCTGACCCTCAGCAGCATGCATAGGTGGCAGGGCAAGGATGCAACCCAAGCAGCTTGGGCTTGGGTTCCAATTACGCACACTATACATACTGTTTAAATAACACCTGGGAGTTTTAGAAAAATATTTAATAAATGTCATTTTTACTTATGACTACTTTGAAGTAAATGAAGGAAGGAAAAAGCAAGAAAAAAGGGAAGAGGGGTAAAAAGCAGAGGACAAAGTGAGCCACAATGAGAGAGAGAGAGAGAGAGAGAGAGAGAGAGAGAGAGAGAGAGAGAGAGAGAGAGAAAAAAAGAGAAAAAAAAAAGGACAACCACAGAGAGCATAAGGACAAGGCAGAGGAGGGAGGGAGCTCATTAGCGGGAACCACTGCATATTAAACCCAAACGCTGAAGCCATGCATTCAGTTTTCTCTGTATTTCTCTGACATTTGAATAGCTGAACCAGTGATCATAGGCTGTCAAATATTCTAGCTCAGCATACTTTAGAATTCAGTCTGAAAGGCAAAATGGGAGTGTGGAAACTGTTGACATAACACACCAAAGAATTTTATTCCCTCGCTTGCTGAGGTGGTCAACCCTGATGCGTACATGTATGCATGTATACACACAGACAGACAGGCAGACATAGACACAGATACACACATGGCTCTCTCAAGTGTACACAGTTTATCCAAATGAAACCTAACTCAAATATTAATGAAACTAGCAAGTGAAATGGAAAAAAAATCAGAATAAAGTGAGAATGTATGTAATTGGTAGGAATCTCTTTGGTTTTCTTTTTGGTATAATCTAAGTTCCTATTTAAGCATGTCTATAACTGTAGTTGCTAATACAAAATTTCAACTCTTCCAATACCTGTGGTAGAGAATCGGTACTCTGTCCACGAAGCTTGACAACTGTCTCTGAAGAGCTGGAGGTTGAAGAGCCAAGTTCTTTAACAATCAACCCTGAAGTAAAACAGGAAAAAAACAATGTTTCAAATTGCGCCTCTTTCCAGATTTTCTGACACATACTACCACAACAGCCAGGGCTCTTGTGGTGACACCTCTGTGGCTGACATCTGGGACTGCACATGTTTTTCAAGAAATAGAGTGGTAAATAAGGTGGGTAGGAGTGGAGGAGGACTCAGGAGTAAGCTATTTATGATGAACTTAGACAAAGGCCTTAGGAAGAAAGTGGTCTCTTCATGTCTCCAACCTTCTCCCCTGTGGAACACTCACATAGTCGCCTAGGTTTGGTTCCATATGGACATTAGGTGTGAACATGCTGGCCTTGCGGCCAGACAGGCCAAGGCTGGACCCTGCCCAGATAATTAATGAGCTGAGTATCTTGGCCAATTGCTTAGTTTTCCCATGCCTCACTTTCCTCTTATAATCAGGGCTGCTATTCACTAGCATTTTAATAACAAACAGTGAATGCATGCAAAGGATCAGAAGTTCCTGCTGGCCAATGGGTCAGGGTGACTGTAGCTCTCACAGCAGGTCCCAGTGGAACTCAGCACAGCCCCTAATCACCTTTCTGCCCTAAGAAAACCTTGATTTTCAGAACCAGAAATCCAAGGGTGACACACCCCTTTTCTGGCTGCAGCATGTGAGTGAAGGACCCTCCAAAAATATGCTTCAGAAGCTAAAATTACCAACAAGGTCTGGTTAAAAGAAAAATACTGAAAATGGAAATGTTTCTTGCCAATTAATGAAGCAAGTGAGGTGAAGAACGGAGGCCAATGGCATCTGAAGAAAAGTGCGCCCCCACCTCACAAGAGAACCTGGAGCAGTGCAACCTAATCCGGCTACTGCACAAGTGGTGGCTTGCATTCTACCACTTCACTCTTTATAATGGCCCATAATGATTCAGAGCCTGGCACATGCCTTGCAAATACAAAGGATTTGATAATCAGCAACATGAACCAGTCCCAGCTCATGCATGGGTGTTTTCCAACTCTCTGGTGATACTTGTGTTTGGGGATGGCACACACTGCTTTCTCAGAAGCTTTCTTGACACAGACAGACTCAGATCTGAAGTAAACCCTTGAACAGATCCTATAGGCCTTAGCTCTTGGTTGGCACAGGGGTGATTCTGTGCAGTCTCCCTGGTAAGTATGCTCTTGGTTCCCACTCCTTATGAACACTCTCCTCCAAACCCACATCCACCACTGAGAAAGTCAGAATCAAGCCTGGTCCATGAAGCTCTGGACACACTCCCACCACACACCAATGAGAGGAGCCTTAGTCATACTTGATCTGAGGTCAGGTTTCCTAAAACAATGCTTATGTGGTTTAGAAACTGGGAAACTAGGATGAGGAAAGGAAGAAAGTAAAAGCATCCATTAACCTACCAAATCCAGAGAAAAGGCTTCAGTATTTTTATGTATCCTCTATGAACATTCTAAAGTTTTATTTAATGCATATGAGTTTTGCCCACCCCCCCACATATGTATGCATATATGCACCACATGAGTACAATGCCTGTGGAAGCCAGAAGAGGATGTTAAGATCCCCTGGAACTAGAGTTACAGTCAGTTGTTAGCCACCACATGGGTGCTGGGAACCGAACCCAGGTCCTCTGTGCTCTTAACTGTTGAGCCCTCTCTCCAGTCCTTATACAAACATTTTTAATTAGATTATTTTTACACAATTTGTGCTGTTTTTCTCACCTAGCTTTTTTTTTTTTCGGTCTTTTTGAGACATGGTCTCCCTGTAGCCCCAGCTGTCCTGGAACTCACTATGTAGACCAGGCTGGCCTTGAATTCACAGAGATCCACCTGCTTCTGCCTCCCAAGTGCTGGGACTACAGGCGTGCACCACCATGCTCAGCTTCACCTAGGTTTTTTATGTTATTGACTCTCCGCCAAAAAATCTTATGTGAAGACTGTCTAATGTTCCATTTTATGATCAGAATTAGCCATTCACTGCTATTTCCTTTTCCACTATTATAAATAATATTTTAATAAAAACTTACGAATTTTTAAACAGCTCCCCTATTTAAATGGTGTCTCTAACTGGATCAAAGCTGGAAGTGGCTGGACAATAAGCATCCAGGGCACTTCCACAGTGCTGGCTACCTAAGGCTTATTTCTCTAAAGAACAGAGACTAATTCATGACATGTGACAAAAGCACACACAGATTTAAAACAAAACTCATACAACTGCCTTTCACATAGTGGACACATGCATTATGGAATATTATTGTCAGTTAGCTCCAGCTGTCAACTTGACACAAATCTAGAGTTATCTGAGAAGAGGGAATTGTGGCTGAAGAATTTCCCAGATAAGACTGGCCATTTTCTTAATTGGAATTGGTATAGAGGGCCCAGCCCACTGTGGGCAGTGCCATCCCTAGGCAGGTGGGCCTGGGATATAGAAGAAAGCTGGCCGAGCATGAGCCAGGGGAGCAAGGCAGCTGCCAGTGGTCTCTGCTTCAGCTGCTGCCTTGGCTTCCCTTGATGATGGGTTCCAACCCACAGGCCAAGTAGCCTTCTCTCTCCCAAGCTGCTTTTGATCAGTGTTTCATCAGCACAACAGAAAGCAACCAGAAGTAATTATGTAACTCTAGAATGAAGTTACAGTGAACACATACATGTTTTCTAGAAGAATTCACACAATATGCAGTTGAAGATGCCTGTTTAAATCAACCCCATTTGACACATTTTCTTGCAGATTCTATTAGTATAATACAGCAGGGAACACAAATCAAACCAAACCTAGAGGCCTGTTTCTACTCATAGATACTTGTTTCTGTAATCTATAGATTTTCCTCATGTGTAAAGAGGAAGAGGCCAGACTGAAGGGTCCCCAAGGCCTCTTCTAGAACCATTATGAAATGGTTCTAATTCTCATGAAAGGAGGAAGGAGAGAGGAAGAACAGCAAAGCCAGCCAGCCTATGACACAGTGACCTGTTGTCCACAGCCTGGGCAAAAGAGGCTAATGTTCTGTCCTGGTGCTGTCCTTCCCTGTTTTCCACAGAAGGCACCTGTCCCTGTGACCTGAAGTGGCTTTTCTTCCAGTCCTGCTTCTGCTCTAGAGTCCCCACCACCCTCCTACTTCTGAGTCACCTGCTTTTGGACTACCAGAGGAAAGAGCCTGCTGTAAGAGCTCACCAGAGTGGCCGTTCAACTTCCGTGACAGAAGCATGTCCTCCGTGATGTAGATGCACATGTCGGGGCTGACTTCCAGCGACTCTTCATTCATTGGCTCCAGGTCTCTGGGGTCGTCGACCAACATCTCTATTTCTAACATAGAAGCAGGAAAAGACATTTAATGACCCCAAGAAAAATTAAGCTCATAATCTACAGCCACACTGTGAAGACAGGTAGGTAAATATTCATATTTGAAAATATACTTGCTAATGCAATTGATTCAATAGGAAACTCTAGGGACAAGCCTCAGCCAGTTGTGAAGTGCTCTCTTTCATAGGGCTGCTGTGTTATTGCTATAGTCTTTCATGCCAAGGTTTGATCATCAATTATTCTTTAAGAAAGATGAGAAGCTGTGTAGTCATATTGCAATGACACAGGGCAAAAGGATCCTGACAGGTCATTAGCATCAGGGCCATGGCTGCTGACCCAGGCGGAAAGGGCTGAGTACCCCCACTTCCTAAAGCAGCTGCCTCAGGGCCGCACCAAGTATGCAAGAGCCAAACATATTCTGCAGTTCTTCTTAACAGTCAATAGTCTGTTTTTCATCAAACCTGGATGTTACAGCTCTTAGATGAGATAGAAAAACTTAAGAGGCACACAAATGCAGTTTGGCTAACAAAGGCTGAGAGCTATTGCTTTATTTCAACAGAGAGTAATTTCCTAGCAGCCAGGTGCTGTATTTCTTTTATACTCCCTATAGTTCTGATAAGATGGGAGGCGTTCAAGAAACAATGTCCATATAAACTGCCAACCCTGTGGCTGGAAAGGGCTGGACACAGGCAACTTGATCAGGTTACCCGGGAGATGGCAAGACTTCTCTTTCACCACTACTTAGTCACTCTCCAGACAACAATGATACAGGACCAATATGTGAAAAGCTACAAAGGAAGAAAGAAGGGAGCCAGCTGGGGACAGAAGTTACCATCATCCTGCGAGTCCTCTTCCAGGCGGTCTTTGCCGCCACTTTCTACCCCGGAGGTGTGGGAACTGCCGTGGCTGGTCATGGAGCTGCAGGTCTTCAGCTTGCGATGCATGGCACTGCCTGAGCAGCTGTCTTCTGGCCCTGGATCCCGGGGCTTAGTATCTGCTTCAATGCCCGAGGTGTGGGAGCTGCTGTGGCTGGTGGTGGAGTGGCGAGACAGGCGCTTGTGCTTCACACTGCCAGCACTGCTCCCACTGGCCCGTGACCTCTTTTCCAGCTGGTCCATGTCCAGGTCTAGGTTGTCACTGATGTAGGATTCCCGGTACTGCTTCTTCTCTGCATTTGAGAACACAACTCATTAGCATGCTCGACCAAGACAGAGAGAGGCCAGGCTGGCTTACAAGAGTAGTCAGGCTGAAATCAAGGGCAGTCTCATTCTGAATCTAATGACTGGGAAGGGGTGATGACTTAGGAACACTACAAATGAATGAACACCAGCACAGCAGCCTGGAGGGGCTAAACTGGCCCGAATTATGAAGAAGTTTCAACACTTGAGAGGTGGGCTTTTCAAAGTGCCATGGCATGTGGCATGCTACTTCCTATCTGTAAATTCCAGTGAAGTAAATTCGGTGACTGAGAACATCTAGCACCTTCTGGAGCAATGGGACACTGACAGGACAGCCTCCTGTATTTTGCAGTGCTATCACCTAACAGCATACCAGGTATTCTAAAGACCTGGTTCTTCTCCACAGGAACTCCAGAAGCATGCTTTCGATGCTCTAAAAGCACCACCTGATAAGCATAATTATTTACTATAGTAACTGCCATTCATTTTGTTTGTCCATTTGTTAACTTTGGTCCCGTGTTACCTTTAGCTGCTAAATATACCTTAAGATAAAGCTATTCTAAAACTTTCTTTCAGAGATTCTAAAATTTAGCTTTTTATTAATCTAAGACTGTTTTTTTTTCCCACATAAGACTAATAGTGAGGCATCAGCTACTCAGAAAACACAGTCTTCACTACTGGTTTGATGACACATCCAGGTGGGCTCTGACTGGTAAAATCCTCTGATTTAACAAATCAGTGTCATTGGTTAATGCAGACAAAGACAACACTGGAAACACATCAGGAAGCCTTTTTATCAAGTATTAAGCTAACCATACATGAAGTTGCAAAGTCATAAGGAACTGCAGGTGGATTGTGTTACAAAAATAGTATTTTTAGATTTCAGGTGAGACAAATTTAAAAGAAAACAGCTTAGCTTCCTTGCCCTCTTAATGCTGATGAGAAAGAAACACAGTAGATCAATGTTAAAAACAGAGAGTGCACTTGGGGAACATTAAATTGGTGTTATTTTACACTAGTAGACTAATTGGGGTCTCGGGGGCCTGCTAATGGATATAATTGTCTTGTTTCTTGGCTAAGTGCAAACACTTGCAGCCCTGAAGTGCATCCCGACAGACTCCCCAGAGGGAATGGGTGGCAGGAGAAAGATAGTTCTGGAAGGTGCCGATGACAGCCCCTGGCCTGCCTCCAGATTACAGGAGCCCATGGCCAAATCATCAGAACACCTGTGTTTGCATGCCTTCGGCATTAAAGCCTGGAGAACAGAGGTTATCAGAGATTATTTTGAAACGTGATGTGGTAAATGAGACCTCTTGACCTGGGTCTAGGAGTATGTTCAAGAAGTTTTTAATGACACAAGGCATGTTTTCCTTGTCTTCTAAACCCTATGGAAGAATTCTTGTGACCTTTACTATATAAAGCTGACATAGTAGTATCTTAGACAAGGTGGGTGTAAATGAAATTTAAGAAAAACACTCATCCTAAGGTTAAATACCAAGAAAAGGGCTTTTCTGGTTAAAATGATAAAAGCCCTTACATGTGGGTAAATGCCATCAGCTCAACTCTGGCTCAGAGAAACTGACTGACACATTTCTTCAGACCTGAAACTATCTCAAGTAGAAGAAAACTAAGCAAACAATACACTATCTGAACACAGCCAAACAGAAGATGCAGCATACACCGTTACCATTCCTTCATTCCCCTACTGTACTTTGAATGTTCCGCTCTAGCTCATACTGACATTTCAATACTGACGTGACAGTGTGCGACGTGGGGCCACTTAGCAGTGACCAGGCTATGGGAACTCTGCCCTTCCTCGTGGACTAATGCTGCTACTGCAGGAGTAGGACCCCCTTTACTCTGTCTTGCCTTCCCCTTGCCCTGCCATCTGCCTCCATCTGCCTGGACTGTCATGGATTTCTCAGACATTCTCTATGCATTATCAGCCTGTGTTTTGTTACTTCAGCAGAGTGCACTGAGGCTTCTAGTCTCCCTAATACATGGTAATGGTGGGCAAACCCTGCCCTCCAGGAGCCCAGCACCTTATAATTTTACTTTATCCCCCCAGGAAAGGTGCTCTAAAGGTGCTTTCAGACTCTAAAGGGTTCCCCTTAACGTTATTCAGATTACTAAAACGCTACAGAATGAGAACTGATGGGATAAATGAATTTCTCAAGATGGCACTGTGACCATTTAGGGAAGAGGCAGGTTTGGAATATAATGTACTCTGCACCTAATCGTGTCATCCGTTCTTGCAGGTTCTCTGGAGCTTTTGTCTTGGAATGGATTCCTTTTAATACTCATGGCAGCCCAAGGGTAATGAATTTATTAGAGCAATGAGTCACTGGGAGAAAACTGGCAGTCTGCAGTGGTGGATGCTAGTGCCCTGACAGTGCCACCAGTTCCTGCCACAGACAGAGGTGCGGTGGCAAATGGTGGGGAGTGATTCACCTTCTCATCACTGTGGAGCTAGCAGGGAATCTCCACACACAACCAGTCTCATTTGAATTGAGAGAAATCATTCAGATGAACACATTCTTTAAGGTTACTTTGTTAGAGGGAGGGTGGGTACTTGCCCCATTTCCAAACAGGAGCAGCGAGGGCTGGGATCAGACCTAAAGCATGAAGCCGTGTCCAGAGGCCCAGGCAGACATTTCAACTTTAATCTGCTAGAATACTGTAAAATCTGATTACTGTAAGAATAACCTCAATAGTACTTTGCAAAACAAACTGAAAACCTAAGCAAATATGCAAATAGGACCTGGGGATGAGAAGAGGGGACATGCTAACGGAGGACCCCAAGAGGACCCCAGGGTGCCACAGTGGAAGGAAAGGGCTCCACAAGACAGACTGTCAAACTGAAGTCCGGAGGTCCTAATATGGACTCCTTCCCCACTCTGGCTTGCCTCTTTTCTGGGGACAGTGCTGGGGCCCTAAATAGACTGTTCTAGACTCCAGCCATATCTCTGCAAAGCCCCTACAGGGCTGGAAGGCAAAAAAAAAAGGCCTTTTGGTCATTAAAAAAATTTTTTTTGATCTAAGTTTTATGTGTGTATGTATGTATGTAAGTACACCCATGTGCAAAACCTATGGAGGCCAGAAGAGGGCGTCAGATACTCTGGAACTGGAGTTACAGACAGTTGTTAGCTGCCATGTGGGTGCTGAGAACTGAACCCAGGTCCTCTGGAAAAGCAGCTATTGTTCTTAACTGCTGAGCCATTTCTCCAGCCCCACTTTTGGTATTTGTATGTGGCCAGACTTGCGGGGGGCTGTCTCCCTGCTGTGACCCATCTTCATCATCACTTCAACCTAAGGAAAGCATTGTGTTAGAAGGAAAGTTTCCTCTGGACAGCAGCACCATTGGCTCAGTACACTCAGCATGTGACACAGAGGGGGCTCTACCTGGGTCCTTTGCAAGGATTTTCAAGCCAGGGTGAGGAAACCAAAGTGAGGAGGCCGAGTGCCTAATGTAACCACAGAGATGCTGAGGAGCTACTGAGGTTAGAATGCCTTAGAGGCTTGAAACATAAATGGAAAAAAGCTCTGAATTTCAAGGACCCATCTCAAAAGCCCATCCTACAGGAGCTTCAAAATCCCTTTTCCTGGCAATTAGAGTCAGAGGACAGGTAAGGAAAGGCGCCTTTTGCTTCTTTTGCCTAAGACCAGTAGCACCATCCACCCATCCCACCTTCATTCTCCTCCAGCTTTCGGAGGTGGCGCAGGACTGGCTGCAGGTTCATGTAGAGGCGGTGACTGTTGCTCAGCAGCTGCAGGAGGTGCCGGGAGCGTGTGGGACATCCTGTGTAGTACACCAGCTTCCTGGCAGAGGGAAGGCCATCCGGCAAAATCTCAAACTTCTTGCCCTGTGGAAGAAAAGTGTGAATCAAATAAAAAAAGAAAACTGCCTGAACCGCCCAAGTCCCATTCAGTTAAGATTCATTTAAGATTGAGATTCTGAATCAGATGTGTGCCACTGGCCTGACAATTCCCTGAGGGGTAAACCACCATATCCCCTTCAGAGCTGACACAGAACAGAGGGTTACCAAGCTCTGGGTGGGATCTATCCAAGGTTTCTGGGTAGACCTGTCAGCGTGGGACAGCTGGGCACATTTGCATTCTCTGGCCCAGCAGGCAAGCCCCCTTGGATGTAATACCAATACCCTCACACAACGAATGAACAAGAAACTGTATTCTAGAAGAGATGGACACATCCAAATATTTAGTTAGCACTCGCTGGATGTGTGGGAAGTGATGAGAAGAGATCTCAGATCCTTAGCATCAAGATCTAAGCTGAGTATGAGCTCTGGAGGACTGCCTTATTGTGATGAGATGCTCTGAATTCCTTTCATTTTCCTAACAATAAATTGGGCAGGAGTGGAAAAAGAAGTATTTCAGACATCATGACTCTCAGCTGGGGAGAGGCGGAGCAAAAGGGAGGCAGGTTCTGAAGACACACTTCAGAGTTGGGGCAAAACAACAGGTGACTGCAGTTCATACGGGGATAGTGTTTATTTTTAGTTTTTTAACCATTGGCTTTTCAGTTTACAGGAACCACTACTACAGGATTCCAATGCTGGGACAGCAGTAACTGACATTTACTGAGCACTAAACAAGTATCAATTTCTTTAAACCAAGAAATCTATAGGGAGCAGTCAACCAAGGCACAGAGAAACTGAGCCACTTGCTCAAAGTCACACAGGTAGGCAGGGCTGGGTTGGAGGCATGGAGCTTCACCTGGGAAACTTGTCCTAATAAATTCTTGGTCTCCACTCTAGACTTGCTGAATCAAAAAATCTCTTGGGAAAGGGAAATGGTATTAAGAACTCTGTCACCTTCAATGAGCTCCTTCAATAAGAGGGAAGGTGGGGTTATGATTTTCAAACAGTTCAAAAAAAGTTTTACCAGAGAGCAGCACTGAGAAGCAGGCTGGACAAACTCCGCTGTATGTACAGAGAGGTCGGAGGAGACAATGCCCCAGGAATTAAGGCAATGTGAAGTTGGACCAGGGCTCCTGATTGGCAGGGCTTGAGGGGCAGCGCCACACACTCCAGCAAGGCAAGGAGGCCCTTTCTCAGCACAGACCTGCCCTGCAACAGGGATTGTGTCTACACATCCTTTAACTTCTGCCTTTCTTGGTATATTTTTCTCAGAAATTTCAGAACTAAATAGAATCATGGATTTTAGTGACCATCAGACAGATGTACACAATTTCACTCCAATTCTTTGTTTGAACCCTACATGTAGTAGCAGAGCGGAGACACAGCTGGAAAAGGCAAGAACTTGCTCTCAGCGAACGTGTGTCATCGCCACAGTTCTAAAGACGAAGTGCTTTCCCTGCTATGTACCACTTCTCATAATGACGAGCTGAGGGTACATGGTCTGGCATTAATAAGAACACCTTTTATTTCACTTTTCATTCCTCACCCAAACTTAGTGACTTCCAAGGCACCAGCCAGCCCTCCTGCTGAGTAATTTACCCTGTGATCTCAGCTGGTTTGCCCACCCCTAGGCTCTGGACTCTTTTAAATGGCAACTCTGTCTGATGAATTCACTTAGTACTTTCACCTCCACTTTCCTTTTGCAATTCAAGTAACTCACGACAATGTGCCTACACTGCACGCAGATTAAAATTTGCTATAAGATTCTCTGATTTTAAGTTTGCTACTGACATAATAACTCAAATTATGAGAATACTCAAGAATGCAAATTTGGGCTTCAATTTTTCACTTTTTAAAGACTTTTTAACATTTATTTACTTCCTACTTGGGGCTGTGTGTATGTGCCACCGTGTGAGTGTGCAGGTCAGAGGACAACCTGTGATAACTGGTTCTCTCCTTCTACCAAGTGGATCCTAGGAAGTGAACTCAGGTCATTCGGCTTGGTTGCAAGCCCTTACCTGCTAAGCCATCCTACCTGCCCCCAGCTTCAACTTTTAAAAAAACTGACTTTTGCTCTTGACATAATGCTTTTTAAATTAAGCCCTCCCCCAAATCTCAAAAACTATAAGACTTCTTTCCTCCCCATCCCTCTATTTTTAGATACTTTAAACTTACCACAAATACCAACTTTCCAACATTTGTCCAGGGGAAATCATAAAGTAACTGTTTCTCTTCTTCTAAATTCTGTGGAAAGAATTACAGTGTATATGGACTTAAGAGGAAACATGACATTTTTAAATGGTCCTGACTTATCTCCTAGAAATCCAAAATTCAGTAATTGAAATCAGAAAAGAATCCTCAACTCCCTTTGAAGAAGGGCAGACAGTAATTAAAAGATTTACAATAAAACTCTGCAGCTCTTGGCTCCTGTGTGACTGCATTCACTGACCCTCTGAAGGCAATCTTTTCCCTCTGGCCTACCCCCTAAATTTAAATAAGAAGTCCAAAAGACTCAGATATTCAGAGATGTGGGAAGGGACTCAGACTTTCATAATTGGATATTTTGCTGCATCAAAGACCAGGCATGCTTCTATCTTCCTTACAGAAAGCCACTCTCCGTCATTGGTAGATGGCTGCAGGATGGTGCTGTCTCACCTGTAGAAGGTGACAGTCAGTACTTATTTATGAGACAAGTTATATCAGAAAACTAATGGAAATTAAAGCTTCTGGTCAGGCTCCAAATTAAAATGTTCTTTTTCTTTCCATGGTTCTTAGATGCTCCAGTGTGTAAGATAGAACAGTTGACAATCCATGAGAACCAAGAAGCAATGTTTGCGTCTGCAGGTGATAAGCCCACTCACCCTGGGCTCCCCGTTTTCTCTTGTGTGGACTGACTACTGTCAAGGAACGGGCAGAGCCACTCCATCTATCAACATATATCATCTGTCCCTATCTTTGTGTTGACACACAGGAAAGGAAGACTGAGCCTGTGGTGAGGCCACACAGGCAGACTGAATTAAGATCCACTCAACACCATCTGACAGTCTTTTCCCCTTTACCAACCTGAAAAATCTGTATTCCTCGCATGGTCAATCCTAAGGTCAGCGAAGCTTCGATTTCCCTTTTATCCTGCAGGAATAAAATTATATGAAGTCATTTTTCCCTTCTATAGTGAACAGGAAGCACTGAAGAGACAAAAAGACATCTCAGAATTGGAAAGTTTTTGACTTTAAATAACTCTGTTCAAATCTTTCCACATCCTTGGTTTACTACAAGACTTAAGAAAATCTTGAAGATTTACCAAATCAATACCGTGGTATACTCTTCACTTTTAAACCCTCACATCTCAAAGTTTCAGTGTTTTCATGGTTGGCTTTGGTTGTCAACTTGACACACCTAGGAAAAGGGAGCCTCGATTGGGGAATTTCCTCTATCACAAAGACCTGTGGGCCTGTCTGAGGGGCATTTTCTTTATTGTTGAGTGAAGCAGGAGGGCCCAGACTATTTTGGGTGGTGTCATCCTGGGCAGGTGGCTCTGGTTATATAAGAAGGCAGGCTGAGCACAAGCCATTGAGCAGCACTACCGTGACCTGTGCTTCAGTTCCTGCCTCCAGGTTCCTGTCCTGAGTTCCTGCTCAACCTCCCTCAGAGCTGAACCTGTCACTCAGAAGTGTAAGATACAATAAGCCTTTTCCTCCCCAAGATATTTTTGGTTAGCGTGTTTTATCACAGCAATAAAGAAGCAAACTAATACAAGTGTTCACCATAGTATAAATATCTCCATTTTGGATATTATTCTAAATACTTACACCATTGAAACTCCAGTAAATGACTATTTTTGTTGTCTTTCTATCATTTGGTATTTTTATATTCTACTTTAAGCTTACTCTGTGCTTAGATGTTTGAATCTTGAATCTCATGTGCTAGTTACAGTTTGAAATGGAACAAACATACTTCCCATGTTTCAAACTGGATAAATCCTCCTGCTCCCTAACCCTGATGCCAAGAGCAAAGTGACCAAACACTTAAGGTTCTCCCTCAAAAGCTTTATATTGTTAGTTTAAAAATACTTATTTTTAACAAGTTCAACTAGCACTTGCCAATATGATAACAGACATTCTACTGGCTATAAACTGTAAAACTTCAGCCACTTTAGGCATAGGAAAGAAACATCAGTTAAAAATGTACTGGAATTTAGCCATGTCTTTTAAGGACTTGTGAGTATACAAGGCATGGAGTCTTAACAGTTACTAAATAACAAGGACTGCCTTTACAAGATAGCTCAAAGCAATCGATGAATATTATTCAGACCTTAAGTTTAAGGCCAGTTTCTCATGAATGCAGGAAGAAATATTAGAAAATGCATCCTTGCCTGGTGTAAAGAGAAAGCAGCTTATTTCTATTATCTGGATTATTTCTTTCCAACTAATCTATTTTTGTCAAGAAAGGCGCATATAGTATAATATTCAGCAGGGAACCTGATCCATCAGGTCAATTTCCCTTTCAAGGCTGTGCTGATTGCTTTCTGAAATAAGGCTGCCCGTAAACACGCTGGCTGATCATATATGAGGTATATACTGGGGAAAACAAGCAGAAAGCAGTTTCTTTCAGACCATTCCCTGTCTTGCTTTTTTCCATTTTATATGCAGCTCATAAATGAAGCAGAGTTAACAGTTGCCACCCGAATTCTCCAAAGAATGGAAGTGCCCGCCAGGGAGCAGCATCCTGTCCACTCACTTCAGTTACATTTTACATTTCTCCATTAAATGTCTTCTTTTGTAGACAAATCATTTTCCATGCAATGCAGTACACTATACTAAACAAATTTTATTTTCTTTTTTAACAAAAGCAGTCAAGTTGGGAGGAAAGATTCTGATTTCTTAAAAGAATTCTTTAAAACAGCAAGCTTTCCCAGCAAGTAAGACAAAAAGCAAGAACTGCTTCCTGAACATCTGCTAAAGTTGCAGGTGCCTGCCTTGCTATTTCAGGTCTGTTACTGCACGGAACTTGGCAGTACAGAATATCATTCCCACTCAACAAATGGCCCATGACCAGTACAGCTGTCCAGGGATTCTAACCAATATCTCATCCAAAAGCCATGGTCTATCCAACACATCATTAGTATTTGTAATATACTTTAAAATATGAACTAATTATTAAAAATGGCACTTATTGGAATATTCTCATGTAAAGTAAGGCATCACAATGAAGTATCTTAAGAAAAACATCAGTCATTTAGGAATTGAGCCAAACTTGTCTTAGGGAGCTCAATCATGCCTCTGTAGGATGGTCAGATATTAACAGTAAAAGGTAGAGTGAGGGAGCCAGAGTTCATGCTTACTAGTTCATACTGAGTTTTTTAATCCAGTTGGGAAGATTACCTAGCAATATGGCCAAATAAAATCCCCCTCTCCAATGCTCTAGAGTTATACTAATCCCAAAACGAAGGGTGTGACAGAGACAGTGAACATGAGGATGAGATAGACACTAGCTGAACTTCATGCTTGACTCGTGACAGGTCCCATTTTAAGCAGAGTTCACCCATCAGTCTCATTAGCGTGTAGTCCCAAGGAGTAGGCAGGTTCCTGTGTCTATTTAACCACGGGCAATCTGACGCACAGAGATGTTAAGTAGCTTACCTAAGGTCACAAGGTAATGATTCAAACAGAGTCAATTCCAAGGTTAAACCCAACTAGCCATGTTTTTATCCCACAGGGTTTGCAAGCATACCTTGACTACTTAAGTAAGAAATCAGGGGTTCTAGTCAGAGAAGTGGCACTTGTAGAATAGGAAAGAAGGTAAGAAGGAGGGGAAGGGAAGATGCTGAAAAGCATGAGTGATTTCCTACAGAGCACATCCCTGTTTCATGAATGTGTGACCCTTGTCCCAGGATGGAAAAGTGAGGTGGGGATACAAAGGATGCAAGAGAGACTAAGGAGCTTCTGAGCCTGAGGGGTACATGACTTAAACACAGACTCTGTTACTGAGGAGTCTGGGTTGAATCCAGGCTCTGCCACTTAGTTTTGCAATCTTAGTCAATTATTTAACCTTCTCAAGCCTCAAGTTTCCCGACCTGTAAAATGAACACTTTTTTCGAAAGTGGGGATTTTCAGAAGGAAAGGAAGAAACACAGTACTCCATCAGCACTGGCTGATGACAAGTGACATGCTTGTAATTAAGAATACAATGCAGGCAGGGGTGGGGCTCTACTTGGAGGCTTATTAAATAATAGTGACCAGACAAGTTACAAACGTTACTCCCCAAAGAAGAGAACATTAGGAAGGGGAAAAAGAACTCTTCCATGACCACCAAAGGCCAGGTCACGATTGGTAGCCATTTTGTTACCTCACTATTGAACCATTAGACGTCCTCTGCCCTGCTTGCAGGCCAGGGCATGATGGCCTCCTGCACTGGCCTGTGAGCTCACCAGCACTGCAAAAGAAGTCTTTTTCAAAGCCTGCTACCGAAGGAAGCATGGAATAGAAATCCTGCGCTCCCCAGGAACTGCAGCCAGAAAAGTGTCATACCTTGTAGAGCCTGTAGTGATGGACAGCGACGTCATCGAGTCGGACGGCCTCTTTGATGTATTTCAGATGTGCCTCAGAAGCGGTCAGTGCAAACTGATCTTTGTGCATGTTTGGAATGTGCTTCAGGATGTATTCCTTCCCCCTCTTGGAAACAACCTGTTGGGACAGGAGGCGTGTGCCATGCAGCATTTGTTGGGGGATGTGAGACATATCACCACCCCAAAATGAAGAAAGGGTGAGAAGCTAAAATGGGCCATGCAAACTGGCTACTTTCCATTAGAAAATCCAATTTTATCATATCTTCACCATCTTTTTATGTTATTAGGTGGAACCAGCTAACATTATAAGCTATAAAATCCATGTAGCAATAGAAAAATCTCAAGAAATGAGAAAACCAGATTCTCTTGATTTTAAAATCACCAAGGAAAAAAATCCCATGCGAACTTGTGTAATCTCACACATTTCATGATTTACAATTAAAAAAATGATGGGCACCATGAAACACATCTGCATCACCACATCTGCAGGCTCTGAGGAAGGCAAGGGCTGGGAGGAATTTGCTGAAAACACTTGGTTCTCACATGAGAGGCTAGGATGTATTTGAATACTTATGAGATACGATTTCAACCCAACATTCATTGTGACTGCCCGTGGCTCAGAGCTTCGTTAGACACTAGTCTGGGCTTTCAGGTGTCAAAAATATATAATATCCAGAAGCTGCAGGCAGGGAGAGGTGTTGAGAAAGCTCCAGCTGATTTCATAAGGCTTATAAATATGAAAAAAAGGATGCAACACAAGCAAAAAGACATCTTTCAAATGATGTGAATTTAAACACTGGTGAATTTTAGTTTTAAAATGACTTTTCCGATGTTGACATTCGTTTCTTTCTTTGAATATTTTGTAAAAAATTTAAGCATGATAAATTACTGGCCTACTATCAAGTTTTGCTGATGAATCAAAGGACAGCTTCTTCTCTCTGGATTCTTTTTTACAGAGCTCCCCCTCTATCAGTATACACCAAAATTTTAAACTTTTTTCCCCCCCAGGTCAAAAACACAGAAAATACTAAATGAATGATTTGGGTGGCCTCAAAAATAGGGGAAACTGGAGCCTCAGCCACTGGGGCATGGCATACTCTAGAAGCTCTGACTAAAATGACCAAGCTTCAGTTTAAGATGATAGCAATGCTGGCCAGACTGGAAAAGCTGGTATATCTCATACTTGTTCTTCAATAACTGAAACACTGCAAGTCAATCAAAAACTTACTGAACACTTCAGTATAAAGTGCTGATAAAACAAATAACTACAGCCATGGCTGTCCCTTAGAAAACGAATACTGCAATTGCTGGGGACAAGTGATAAACAGAACATCTGGAGAGAGAGAGATGAACAGTACTTATGTCCAGTGCCTTCTTGGGCACAGAAGACATGAGCTTGATGACCCAGTGGGAACTCTATATAGGAGCTGATCCCCAGAGGATCAGGAGTTAGCCAGCTGAAACAGGAGAGAGGCTTCATATGCTATGGAATTGTAAGAAGAAAGGTCCAGAAGTATGAAACAACACGGTGCATGTGCAGACATATATCACTGTATCACTAGCTGAATGTTGCCAGAGCAAAAGTTGAAGGTGCAGGACAAGCAGAGAAGAAACTGGAGGAGCTGCTAGGAACCAGGTCCTAGAGTTTCTAGGTCATGCTTGGGAGCCCAGGACTTCATACCACAAGCAACAGGAGAGCTCCTACAGTTTAATGCAGAGGTCCAATCCTCTCTCATGCAAGTGGGGGAACAGGGAGCAGCTCCAGAACAGTGCTGCTGAGTCAGGGCCCAGAAAGTGGAAGGAACTTTGATGGGAAAGAATGCAATGAACACTCAGGGAAACTAAGAGCAACAAAGTGCAAGACTAAGCAGGTGACTGAGAGCTCACATCAGACGATGCCGCCATCAGTGGCTGGTACGGGGAGGAGGCACAGTAACAAGCAGGGTTCACATAACAGTTTCTGGACAGTTGAGCAGATGGCAGTCTCTAAGACTCTGAGACTAGCAATAGAGAGGTAGGAAAACCTCTGTAGAGGTGGGGGAAGAGGGAAGGGTATGAGTCTAATTTGGGGCAGTTGAAAGCACCTAGGGGTCAACAACATGTTATGTAGATGATCATGTAAAGCAGCAATGCAGATGAAGTCTCCCCAGATGTGAATGGTTAGGTTGTAAAGTGAAGCAGTAAAATTCAACAAAAGGAGAGAAAGGTGTCCACAAGATCACACCATATAAAGGCCATCAGTGATCTTACGGACAGCACTGTGCATGGCTGATGGAAAGTAGGCAGGTGGAAGTGGTCGAAGGGATGCACATGGGAAGGAGGAGGCTAGAAAATCAAATATGCCTGATCTATCTTTGACTTTCAAGCTTGCAGGATGTCAGGCCAGGGGGCTCTGCTTTGTGAAGGACGCAGATGACCCACTGTTCTATCAGCATCAGCTGTAGGAGTATTCCTGAGCTGGAGCTGAGGACACAGGGGACAGGAAATCATGCTGGTCTGCAGGAGGGATGGGAAGCCAACAGGATGAAGAGAAGGCGTGAGAGACAGCTCCTGCTAAATGACCCACATCTTGCTAAAGGGAGGCTGACTCCTCTCCCAGCATGGGGGACATGAGGTCAGGGCTAAAAGTTGACTTAGATTTGTTTTTTCAGCTCCTTAAAGCCATGAATGATCTCATGTCTTAAGAAGTGATGCTTTTTCCTCAAAGGGGGAAAAATACATTCCACCAGGAGGTGGTAAGAGCATCACTGTCACTGCCACACATTCACCAACAGGGGGCTGGCAAGCTCAAATTCCCCCACAGCAAGGATGGCCAGAGCCTCCTCAGCTATGAGCAAACTGTACGAGATACTCCATGTGCCAAATTCTCAGCATTTGATCTGTAGTTGGGCATCAAGAATGCTTTCACTGGCTCCAGAACACATGGGTTCACTGAAGCAGCATAAGAAACAGCATATGAATTAGAATGTGCTGGAAAAAAACACCCTGACGAACGCAAAGACAGTACCTACCCACGAGGGGAAGTAATCCTCTGGCTCAAAGTACTTTCCACAGTGCTTATTCCTTTTGAAGTTCCCAAGATCGGCCTGCAGAGCAAAGGCTGCCAGCAGGAAGTAGGCCTCCTCTCGGAGCACACACTGAGAGTGCAGGACTTGTTTTCTCAGGTGCCAGTAATAAAAGTATCTTGCTGCTCGGTCACTAGGAAAATAAAGGCGAATAGCGATCACATTTTGGTGGAACAGTGCAAAGACATGTAAATAGAACCCAAACCTGTTCTGCATCTGGTGGAAGGCACCCTTGGCTTCTGTTCCTCATGCCCTTCACTGGGAAGAGGAAGATCCTGGATAGACCTGAGGCCACCCCAGGAGGCTACAGGGATCCAAATGGGCAGAGGGTATGTACTAAGGCCCATAGCATTTGGTACATTTAGAGAAGGGGAGGGCTGCAGTATTTCACTTCAGTGAGGCAAGTGTGTCAGAAACACAATGTACATTCGAGAAGCTAAGCATTAGCTGCCTCTTTTTTTTTTTCGGTCATACGTTGATGTTGCACACAGTGAAATGAGAACAAGTCTGAGAAAATCCAAGCTTCAATACTTTGTTATTTTTCTTTTTGTTTCTTAGTACATCACAAACACTCTACTTGAAAAATGTTTCTGCTTATATAATGTTCTAGAAAAAAGAGTCACCCTAGTGGGTTTTTTTGGTTTGTCTGTTTTGGTTTTGTATTGCTCTAAGAAGGGATGAATCTGCATTTCCTTAAGCTTGCATTTTGCTTGTATGAAGAAGACACTGTTTTGTGGGAGAGTTTTCAGAGCTCCATCTCCTGGAACCATGATGCTCCCCACAGAAGAAAACATAAATAGTGCACTCTCTGTAATTCTCTCAAGCCTAGAAATAAATTCATTAAAATATTCCTAGTAGGAAGTGCTGACTGGGGAAAAATGTCTGGTCAAAACTCAAAAGAAAAGAAAAATGCTCATGGGCAAACAGGGCAGTTTTTATGATTAAGGGAAAAAATAGAGAAGAAAATTGTGAATGCGTATGTTTTAATAAGCCTCTTTAATTTTGGCTGTTTACCTGAGATTCACAGTTCATAAGTAGATGGTAATAAAAATGTATTTTAACCAGGACCAAGATTAAGTATGAAGAGCTTAAAAATAAAAGCATTTAGGGTCTGGAGAGATGGCTCAGGGGTTAAGAGCACTGCTGCTCTTGCAGAGGATCTGGGTTCAATTCCCAGCACCCACACAGCAGCTCACAACCATCCATTAACTACAGTTCCAGGGGATCTGATGCCCTCTTCTGACCTCCATGGGCAATGCATGACAGGGATACATTTCACACAGAAAAAAATTAAAAAATTAAGCATTTATATAATTTCTTTCCTTTGGGAGAATACTTTTCAGTATGCTTTTCATAATGCTGAGCACATGTCTGAGGTTCATCCTTGGGGGAAAAGGCAGAAGTAAAGGGGGGAGGTAAATTAACATTCATTAGCCCCACGGAGTTAATTAGTGGCTAAATAATATATTTTCCTTCTTTCCAGAGCATTCCATCCTTACCAGGTAAATAGGGTGAAAAATGTATATAAACTGAGATTAATTAAGCTTCTTAACATTAAAAAACATTCTTTATGCACTAAATTTTTTATTCTTTAATTTGCATCTGGTAATGATATAAAAGATCAAGTGATACTTTTTCATAAACTCACTAGCCAAATATATCTTTTTTTTTTTTTCTTTCACATGGAGTTTCTCAAAGTTTAAAAGTAAAGGGGAACAAAGTTCATGTTTCTTGTCAACAAATTAGTCAACAAAGTGATCTTTGGATGTTTTATAGCATCTAATCCTTCATCAAAAAAGAACTAAAGTTTTTCAATGAATTCTGATTCTCATCCCGAGCAAAGTGCTGCTCATGCATCCATCTACCAGTTATCCAGCCCTGTCTGGACACAGTTCATCCTCACAGGCTAGCTCCTCCAGGCTTACTCTTAGTTTTAAAGCTATTGGTAAGAACACAAGGAAGGGCCTGGAGAGATGGCTCAGTGCTTAAGGGCACTGGCAGCTCCTGCAGCACCCACACCACATGGTGGCTGACAATGGCCTGTAACTCCAGTTCCAGGGGATCCAATGCCCTCTACTGGCACCTACAGGCATTGCATGCATAGGTGGGTACACTGACATACATGTAGGCAAAACACTCATACAAATAAAAATAAAAATATAATTAATAGAAAAGGAATATAAGCAAGACGTCAAATGTGATAGTACCCATCCAGCAACCAGGCTGGGTAAGACCTGTCTTTACAGGAGAGTGCTTGGCCCTTACCACCTGCTGGCTCCATGTCTAGAAAAGAATTACAACCCTTTAATTAATCTATCCTCTTCATAACAGTGACGGTTCTTTCTTAAGACTAATTGTTAGTGAAAATGTAACGAAGACATGAGTCAGTGATCTTAACATTTTTATTCCTAATCTACCACTCCATTTATTCAGCCAACACATACTGAATACCAAATACGCCTCTGCTTTAAGTAATAAAAATACATAAATGTGCAAAAAAAAAAAAAAAAAAGAAAAAAGATCTAAAAGAAAAAAAAAAGTTGCTGCTCTTAGGAAGTTTGTATCTATCAAGTGGAAGGGAACATGCAATAAACACAAGTGCTGTGTTGGATGTGTGTCAGGAGTGCTATGGAGCTCAGGTTCCGGGCTCTGTGTCTTCATACCTGATCAATTTGCCATTCTCCACATAGTATTGCACACGGAAATGGATGATCATGGGAGGCCCGAACTGGTCAATGCCCTAAGACAGACATACACAACAAACTGTTTTTAATTACTTCAAACATAGGCTTCAAAAACAATCACACTACCATCTTTTGCAAGGCACATTTCAAACACTGAGAGGCTTCATCTAGTTGTGGTGGGCAGACAGTTGCCCCATGTGGATACCAGCTTCATGTCAAACCAGGAAGTTACAAAGCAAAGCAGGGCACCATCCCTCTCCTGATTCATTCACTGTAATGACAGTAGCAACATAAGGGAGGATAAAAATAAATGTCGCGGACGTTTCTAGCCAAGATTCAGCTCCTGCTCCAGTTCTGTCCCCTGCAGTGACCATTTGCTCCTTATTACAAATGTTCTCTTGTTCCCTGACATGCCACATACCAAATTCTAACAGGCTGTTTGTTTACTTAGACATTCATGTTCTTTCCTCTGTAGTTGGCTTTGAAGCAGCCCTTCAGTTTATCCCAAGAATTCTTTACTGTGAATTGGAGATCTGGGATTAGATGTGCAATTTCACTCCTAACTTCTAGGGTGATGGGGAAACAATGCAAATTCCCTATTGACTGTTCTCAACAAACAGAACTGATGTTTACTGAGTAAAGACACCGGCACAATAAAACAGCAAAGGAACACATGCAAGAAGGGGAAAGGCAGATTAAAAATTTCTAGAACGAGTTTTGACAACACAGTCACAGAAGAAAAGCACTTTTTTTCATGCTTTTCACTTCAAAGCATTACCCCCAAGATTACTAAAACATCATTATTAGGTATTACTTAACAGACATCTGGAACTGATCATTCTATGCTATCAGCTATTCACATTTGATTAACAGGACATTTTAGAACTTACAATCCATTTCTTTCTTTGTCTACAGGATAATTATTGCTTATGTTTTTTTTTTCTAAGATGTGACAGCTAAAACAAACAGGTTTTAAAGAATAAAAATAGTTTTGCACATAAATGTAATCTCACCCAAGTGACTTCGTATTGTCGTACCTTGCTGGCCTCTTTTTTCCATTCTTTTGGACAATATTTATAAAGCTTTTGTGACAACTCCATATATACATGTTCATTATCTGCACATTAAAAAAGGAGACAAGATGCTGACATAAAAATTTTATAAAGAAAAAAATGCAAAGCAAAAAATTTTAAAAAGTAATCAAGATCTGTGAATGTAGCATGAATCAAGAAAACTTGATATTAAAAACAAATGGAGCTATGCGCCAGACATTAATGAAACTATCAATTCTTTTGCTTCTGCAGTACAGAAAGTAGACCATTAAAGTGTGCAATGCCTCAGAGAAATGTGGTTTCTAACTCCCTCTTTTGCTTGGGTCCTAGGAGCTTCAGAAGCTAGTCGAATGTCTATGCCTGTGGACATGCATCTTAGAAAAACATGCTTTTGTTTAGTGCACAGAAGACTGTTCTCCTAGGTGCAGAATACTGACACTAAGGCAGCAGTACAGTGTTAACTGCTTTATAAGAAAATGGAGAACATTGATGGTCACTTATTTCCAAGTGAGGTTCATGACACCTGCTTTGTGAGGAACAGTCTTTAAGAGCATTCGCTCTGTGTTCCCCACATCAAAGCACAGCTTGCCAAAAAGATAAACCATTATTGGTTCTGCCTTTGGAATCTACCTTGTGGGAATAGAAAGAAGAACCTTATAAAAACAAGCATGAATACAAAATCAGTCCTTCAAGGGATGATGTGCTTCTAAGGGGAACAGAACATGTGCAGCTGAAACTTGTATAAAATGATCTGAGCACATGAAGACAAGCTGGGCAAAACAAAATTCTCACTGTTTGTCTAAAGAGAGTTTTTTATAGAGATACATTTCACAAGAGAGGTTAGCATTGCTACCTTATACAAAGTTTGAACTTAAAACAAATACAAACAAAAGCCCAGCAATTCCTTTTCCCCACTATCACTATAATCATCCTTTTGGATGCTCTGTAACAAGCTTCATGACAGAGGGATATGTACCTTGTTCAGTCTAGAAAAAAGCAAGCTAATTCCATGGCCAACCCCTAGATGAACACTGGGTTTGACTAGAAGATGCCAGAATACAATTGGGCTATAAAGGGTATTAACTTGAAAGAAGGAATAATGATATTCCCGACAAAAAAAAAAAAAAAAAAAAAGGGAGAGTTAAATTAATCAAATTTTACGGATAAGTTAGTGAACACTGTCTCTTTGCCTCTCATTTTACTGATTAAACACAAAAGAGACAAGACCAGAAACCTTCCTGTTGAACTTGATCTGTTTAGTTTGAGACCTTGTCTAAAGCAGCAACCTGATGAAGAGAAATGAGATTTTTCAGAGTAGCATATACATATTTAAACTCCCTCTACATCTCCATCCTTTGATGGTGTCACCAGAGCTCTCTAGCATTAAGAAGTCTGGAGCTTTGGGAGAGCTGAACACATGGCAACCAAAAAGCCCTGTGGTGGTCTGAATGGGGAATGCCGCGGTCTTAGTTTTTTTCTTCATTGCTGTGACAAAATAATCTGACCAATACCAACTTGGGGAGGAAAGGATTTATTTAGCTTACATCTCCTGGGTCACGGTTCATCAGGGAGCCCAAGGTAGGAACTCAGGGCAGGAACCTGGAGGCAGGACCTGGAGCACAGGCCACAGAGGAATGCTGCTTACTGGCCCGCTCCCCTGACCCCTGCTAGGCCTGCTTTCTTATGCAAGACAGGCCCACCTGCCCAGGGGTGGCACCACCCACAGTAGGCTGGGCCCTCCCACATCACTCAACAATTAAGAAGGCCCCAAAGACATGACCACAGGCCAGTCCAATGAAGACGATTCCCCAGCTGAGGTTCCCTCAACCCAGGTGTGTCAAGTTGACACTAAAGCTATCCAGCACAACCCCCATAGGCCCAAGTATTTGAACACATGGTCCCCAGTTGGTGGTGCTGTGTGGGAGGTTACGGAATAGTTAGGCATAGCCTTGATGGAGGAAGTGTGTCACTGGGGGGTGGGTTTTGAGAGTTCATAGTACTTGCTCACTTCCAGTTTGCTCTCTCTGCTTCCTGTTTGTAGCTGAAGATGTGAGCTCTCAACTTCCTACTCCAGCCACCTCCCACCATGCTTCCCCTCCATGATGGACTCTTATCCCTCTGGAACCATAGGCCCAAATAAACTCTTCCTTTTTATAAGTTGCCTGGGTTGTGGTGTTTTATCACAGCAACAGAAAAATAGTACAGAAGAGACAAGTTGCCTTCTCCCATTCCTTACCCTAGGCCTCTCTTCCGCTGTGCCTCCTATAATGTTTTTTTAACAGTCCTAAATGACTAAACAAATAAGCCAGGTTTCTCACTGCTGAAAAAGTAGTTATAAATACTAGAAGGAGAAAGGGGTAGAATGACTCTCGCGGAACTAGATTAGAATTGGAAGTGTTAATATGAGCTCATGAATATCAAGAGAAGTATGCAGAGAAATGTCTGCCAAAAGCTAACATCACCAGTAAACATAAATAGCTACCATGTGTCTCATGACATGGTAAACTGTGAAGGACACATCACTTATCTGCTATCCCTGCCAAACACATACATAACCTGAATTAATCATGAGGAAACATAAAGCAAACCCAAATTAAAGGGCATTCCACAAAACAACTTGACAGTTCTTTTCAAAACTGAAAGGACATAGAAGACAGGGCAAGACTGAAGAACGGTTGTGGACTAGACTTCAGCCGGGACAACTGCATATGACTCTTAGCCTAGGCTTTCTTTACCCTAAAATGAGTATTACTAGGCTTCTTGGCAAACTAAAGGCCACTTAGCATCACAGTGATGACTTCGTGATTATGACAGTTACACTATGGCTATGTATGAGATATCCTTGTTTCTAAGAAATTTACATGAAGCTCACAGGGATGGAGAATAGGCAAACAGATCGCAGACAGGAGGAACAAACATAGTTTAATGTTAACATCTGAGGAAACTAAGTCAAGGAAATATGGGGATTTTTAATAGTCTTCTTACAGCATTTCTGTAAGTTCAAAATTATTCAAAACAAAGTTAAAAACTGAGATGACATTAAGATTCCTGGTATTTGGATGGTTTTAAAGAAGAGCATTAGAATAGGTGTGTTTGTAAAATGTCAATGTTTGAGGTACTCGAGAAATTGCATCCTCTCCAACTATTCAACTTGCAATGGGAATTTTAGCTATCAATCTGAATGCGTGAGAGGTTTCAGGGCAGTAAAGCCATCCTGTACACCATAATGGATACACACCACACTTCTGTCCAAGTCACAACATGAGAACCCTAGAAGTGAACCCTAGTGCAAATGATGTGCTCAGGGTGGTAATGTGTCACTGTAGGTTCCTTGATTACAATACATGTGCCTCTGGTGCTATGGCTGACTGGGGAAGCTGTGTGTGTGTGTGTGTGTGTGTGTGTGTGTGTGTGTGCATGCGCGAGGCTTTATGGAACTCTAAAGTCCCTGCTCAGCCTCTGGTGCTATGGGGAAGCTCTGTGTGTGTGTGTGTGTGTGTGTGTGTGTGTGTGTGTGTGTGTGTGTGTGTGTGCATGCGCGAGGCTTTATGGAACTCTAAAGTCCCTGCTCAGTGCTGCTGGGAATCCAAAACTGCTCTATCAAAACAAAAGTTGCAAAATGAATTCTCAAGCACACATTGAACCTGCAAAGCTGGTGGGGCTGTAGTTTCTTTCCGACATGAAAATAAATGACAAAGAGAAGCCAGGTGACATGTGCAAAAGCACACTGCTAGTTAGTGGTAGAACCAGAATTAGAACCAGGTCACCTAATTTCTGTTCCAATGCTCTTTCACCATATTTCAACCTCTCCTTAAGGAGGACATCTTAAAACTCTTATTTTGAAACCTAAGGAAGCTATAAACTGGTTTTCTTGGACAGACTTGTTAAACCACAGAGATCAACAGTCTGGCTCTTGCTGTAGTAAGAATTAGCTTTGAGTAGAGAATACGAGTCACTTAAAATAGAATCTAAGCCAGGCGTAGTGGTGCATGCCTTTAATCCCAGCACTTGGGAGTCAGAGGCAGGCGGATCTTTTTGAGTTCAAGGCCAGCCTGGTCTACATAGTGAGTTCCAGGACAGCTGGGACCACGGGGAGACCCTGTCTCAGAAACACCAAAAGAAAAAAAAAAAAATCTATAAGGCATCTTACCACCTCTAGACCCTCCCTGAAAAGATGACTGAGGTCTGTACGACACAGTGATGGAGCCTAGCTTTGTGTTTTTACTGCTTTGACTTCTACAGGAGAGATTGAGAAACAAATGGGTGACTCCCTGGCCCTCACTGCTCCCTCTCTGCCCCGTGTACTTCTGCCTATCCTACACAGGCAATAACCGAGTTTCCATTTTGAAGGAAAAGGAGTCAACTTTATCTGTTGACCAGAACACTTTTTTCTAGCTTGGAAGATGTAAACATTTTACAGTACTAACTAGATTCTCAAGATCATAAACTTTTAGATTTAAGCCAATTCCATTAGTAAGGAATTATCTACATACAAGTACAAAGTAGGTCTCCTAGAAAAACTGAGCAAAGATATTAGAAGTTTTGGGGATGTAGAAAACTAGAAAAATTTCCAGATACAGTTTGATAGAAGACAACAAATGGCTTTAGATAAGTCTCAAGTGTCTAGGGCTAAGGGATGTGGGACAACAAAGCTTATATGGAATCCTCTACTCAAATTTCTCCATATAAAGAACAGAGAGAGAACTGACTCAAAATTTCCAGTCACACAGTCAGGCTGGAAAAAAGAAAAGGCCAAAATAACAGGAAGTTAATTGATCACTGTTATAATGTTAATGGTAAGAGAGCCTAAATAGAAGAAAGTCAGTTTTACTATATTTTTGTAGAATGAAAGTCATTCTAATTTATAGTAATATAAATCACAACAGTAAATTACAAAAACATCTAAGATGCTTTTCTCCTGCCTACAGCTGGTACAAGGAAATGAACAAGGAAGTAAAAATCAAGCTTCATTCATTATTACATCAAAAAGGAAAGCAAACAATAAAAATCTAGATTCCTAAAAAAGAATCAACCTTAAGTTCAAAGTGTCATAAATACCTAAAATGCTAAATCTTACAAGAAATACATCACAGTTGGTATTAAAATACAAATATTAGAATATAAATGAAGATCAGTTTCTGAGTATTTGACAAGTGGAGTTTTATAATAAGTCTATTTTAAACTTTAAAATATCACTTCCTCCAGGACAGTTAAAAACACATCGGAGACAGGACTAAGGCTTACTTTGTATAACACTGAGTCCAAAGAGGTGACAATCCTTTAGCCTGAGCAGGTCACACACCTGGACCAGCAACTGGTGACATAGAATTTTAACCTGCAGGAGAGAAAGAAAAAGACAACAACAACAAAAAAAAGAATTTGAGACAAACCAAGTCCACACAGTGAACCACACTCGGCACATTGTAAATATGCACCTCCACAAGACAAGCCGACACTGGCAACCACTGCTGGCTTACAGAAATCTCTATAATCTGTGGCTGTCTTTCAGTAATGATTATCACAGCATCAATTTTTACAACATGGTAATAAAGTGCCAATACAATCTTGCACAAGACTGATAAATCTTATACATGGATCAGGTTCTCAAATCCTTCTTGGAAAGTGGGTACTTCAGAAGGCCCGTTAAGAACAGCTACCCTACCCAGGTATTCATTTGGTAAAGGAGTTCTTCAAATTTTTTCAAATTTTATTTTAATTGATAAAATTTTACATATTTATGGTATTCAACATGCTTTGCTGAATGTATACCTTACAGACTGGACTGACCAAGTTGACTAACACACATCGCCTCACATTCACGTCATCTTCATATGTGGTGAGAACATTTAAACCTATTCTCGGGCATTTTAAAGCATATGTCACATTATTAATTACAGTTGCCAACTGGTAAAATAATTTCTTGAACCTTGTAGCTAAAACTTTGTATCCTTAGGCAAACATCTCTTTGTCCCTTCTCCTTCAGGCCATCGTAACTACCTCTCTTCTGCTCTTTGCTTCTGTGAGGCAGACTTTTTTGGATTCCACGTCAATGAGATCACGCAGTATTTTATTTCTGTGCCTAGCTTATGTCACTAATATAATGCTCTCCGGATTTACCCAAACTGTTGCAAATGACAAAGCTTCCTTCTTCACATGGCAGACTATTGCTCACTGTGTGTGTATCTGCCATACTTTGTATATTTCTGCCATTAATGGACAGTACTGTCTATTATAAACAAAGCTGCAGTGAACACGAGCCTGCAAACACTTCTTCACCAGTGACTTCATTTTCTTCGGATACATCCCCAGGAAAACCACTGCATCATACAGTAACTCTGTTTTTGCAGCACCTCATGCTGTATTATACAATGGCCACATTCCTGCCAGCAAATGACAATTGTTTTCTACTTCCTCAGCAACATTTGTGAACTTTTCTCCATGACAGCCATTCTAACAGGTGTAAGTTAGTATCTCACAGTAGTTTTAATTTATATTTTCTTGATGCTTACTAAGGCTAAGCACTTTTTTGTACACCTATGAGCCCTTTGTATGTCTTCTACATGAGAAATGTCTACTCAGAGCATCTTTTTCAAGAAGTTTTCTTCTGACTGGTCTAAGCAAAATATTCATCTACTGCACAATGACAGACTGCCCAGCTTTTATTTATCTTAATAAATCACTTATTGCTTAACATCTTTTTTCCTTTGAGTCTCAGTCTAATTCAATTATGCTAATAATAATTCCCATTAATTTGGAGCTCTAGAGAGGAGTTACTCTGAACTGAGAAGATATCATTTGCTTTGGGTTTTGTTTGGGCATAGGTGGTATGACGTATGTGTGATGTATGTGTATGATGCATGTGTGTGAATTGTGACTGCATATGTGGAAGTCTGAGGACGAAGGTATCAGTCACACCTTGAGACAGGGTCTCTTGTTAAGCCTTTGCATTGGCCAGGCTCTCTGGCCCACCAACTTACAGGGACTTTCCTGTAGAAACACTAAAATTACAAGTGTTTGTGCTACAGAGTCAGGCTTTTATTTGGTTTCTGGGGACTCTAACTTAAATCCTCATGCCTATATGGCAAATACTTTTATTCACTGAGGCAACTTCCCAACACCAAATACAGTTTTGATGCTTTTTCAGTTATGAAGGAAGCATCTGGTGGGAGTTCAATGATTTGGGTCAGTCAGCTTCACTGAAACCAGAATCACCTTTTGAGTTGGGAATTTAAAAGACCACCAGCTCAATCTCTTCATTTTATAGAAGCAAGAAATAAAAGTGCTTAAGGTCATATAGCCAGGGGTGACAACATAAAACTTATTTGTATATCAAGATGGGTATATATTAAAATATATGCAACATGATCTTTATAATTTTAGCTGCATACATGACATGTGGCATTTCTTCTGATAGGTATAATTAGCTTTCCAATCCTTTCTTCAGTGATGATACCAATTATAATTCTAATGACTATGCATTCTAAAGTAGTTAGCTAATGATTTTCTATCATATCTTCATATGGAACTAAAACTAAGAAGCAAAGATATGACAAATTCCTCATACACTAGAAGACAAAGAATTCAGAGCTAGTGATAATTCCAATTATAGTAAGATAGAATGCTTTGTTGCTGTTTTCTATATTCACTGTTAAATGGTGATCAATCTGAACTACCCCTCCCAATGGAAAAAGCAGCGGCACCCAGTTAGTTCCTCCAGTACCAGGAACCAAAGGAGCAGGGCAGCGCATTACTCTATTGCTGTGATGAAATAACTGACAAAAGCCAACTTATGGAAAGAAGGGGCCATTCTGGCTTAGAGTACAAGGGATAAATTCCATTGTGGCAAAAATGGCAGGAGCTTGAGGCAGCTGGTCACACTGCATCCACCGGGAGGAAGCAGAGAGGTGAACGCTGGTGTTGCTTTCCAATTTTCATTCATGGGATGGTCACTCTCATTTATTTCCTTATTAATTAACCTAATCTAGATAATCCCTCATAGACATGCTCAGAGGTTTCTTTCTTCAGTGACTCTGGATCCTGTTCACAGTGTGACATCTAGATAGTGTCAGAGTTTATATTCATGATCCTCAGTTGGTACTCAGTAAGCCACTGATGAGTGAGCCAGGATCTGATTCCCAATGGGTTCCTGCACACTTGCACTGTGGTCCATTACAGACTTCCTGCTCACTGAGCACTCCAGGTTACAAATGTACCCTCCAGCAATTTAGGAACATTGTATCAAGGCAGCTCACCCCCATCACTGCCATTGGAAGGGCCCACTGGCTCGTGGAAACCATTACATCTGTGCTAGCTTGCTCCAGGGCTTGGGATCTTTCATTTGTGTCCTAGTGATGTCCTATATATCTCCAACATTTACTGACAGCACTATATTTGTATTCCATGTTGACATTAACTATACTGTCACAAATAAGCTTACACAAACAGCCAAATGGAGACAGGACCACATTCACAGGTAATTCTTAAGTTGAACTGAACACTATAAACTAGAAACTTAAACTTTCACAATGTTCTGCAGCACTTTTAACCACAAGATTGACTGGGTTTAAACCTCAGTTTAACTTAGGTGGCTAAAGAGCAGCCAGGTTGAAATGTACTAAGTATTTAAATTCCAAATCACAAACTAAATGTATACATAAACTATGCTGCAACTTTGTATGACTCTTGACTAAATAACGCTGAAAATTTCTTCCAGGCATCCCATGTAATTATTATTATTCCGCTAGTTTAAATCAAGTATCTGGAGCCTACTGATAAAGCTCTTTAACAATCACCAAGTAAGTATAGTGTTCTTGTTTAAGAACTATAATTAAATAAGGATGTGACTTTAAAGTGTTACCTGCTGTGAAAACAAGCGAGTTTTCTGTATTTAAGAGTATGAGTCTTTAAAGCTACATTCCAGCTGATTGTGAAATTTCTCATTCTCTCTAATCTTCAAGCAATGGGAACCCTTAAAAGTACTACACAGTATGAGGTATTAAGAGTGAGTTAGAGCTTTATCTAAAAATACTCACTATATGGAACTTTTAAATTAGAATGGGGCTTGATCCTCACTGTGTCAATGGTTAGTTACTGTACAAGGATCTTTAGAATACTGTCTGGAAAGAATTATTTGCTCTAGTCTCAGGAACATGTATGAGCTCTGGCATAATTTCTACCATTCTAAAAATTTTCTGGCTCTCACATTTTCTATGATTTTATTTTTTAAAAATTTCAAGTTTCTATATTTTATATTTGTTTGATGATTAAGATTAATTAAGAATAGGCCCTATTGGTGTAATTCATGGAGAATTCAAAATGACCAGTACACTAAATTTACCCCACATGTAGAAAGCCAGTATTCTATCAATTATACCTGTCAGGGAAAAAAACAAAAACAAAAAACAACTCCCCCCCCCCAAAAAAAAACCTTCCAACTTCCTTTGTTTTAAAAAAAAGTGTGTATGTATGTGTGTGCGTGTGCACACATGTGTGCTGAAAAAAAATACTGATGAAAGCTTTTTTGTTACAATTAATTTGCTATGACCATCCTCTGCAAACTTCAATCACCATTTTCTGTTTTGGAGAAAAGGGGGTGCCTGGCAGTTCTGGTACATTTTTTCTAAGCGTGGGCAAGCCTCCATGCTATTTAACCCATCCTTTTGGGGTCCCAGACCTTTCTGGGGAGGAGCAGACGTCTATGTTCCCAGTGTAAGAAATCTTACAGGTCTGCATGGAGCCCGGGCTGTTTTGATTTCTGTCTCAGAGAAGCCTAATGATTTAAACAAATAGCACAAAGAAATAGACAAGTAAAATGCTACTCTACTAAAGGCTGATTTACTGAGCAGTTACATGGACCAGATACTACAAAGTGTTTAAGCATGTGGCATCTTTTTTGCAATTCTCCCATGAGAAGGAAACCAAAACAACCAACCAACCAATCTAAGAAACCTGCCCAAGGCTACAAAAGTCAGAGTGAGCATTTCAGCCCAGGTCCTCCTGACTAGAAAGAAACACAGCCCTTGATCATATATTTTGACCATCTTAGAGAGACTGTTGTATTAGTGTTGTAAAAAGGGGAATTAAAGAGATTTATGAGTTATTTCTGCCAAGAGATTAAAATATAGTTTGAACAATTTGAAATCACAAGTGGTTCAGATTCCAATTATTTTTTATATTTTGTGGATTTTTTGCCAATATTTATTTTTTTTAATTTATTTTATTTATTTGGTGAAATAACGAAGGTTTTCATTAGCTGTCTTTTTTTCCATATTTTATCATTTTTATTTTATGTGTGTATTCCCTACATGTAGGTAAGTGCACCCATGTGGTGCAATGCCCGTGGAGGACAGAAGAGGCCGTTGGATCCCCTGGAACTGGCGTTACAGTCAGTTGTTAGCTGCCATGTGGGTGCTGGGATTCAAACCCGGGTCTTCTGCAAGAACAACCAGTGTTCTTAACCACTAAGCCATCTCTCCAGCCCCGCCCCCCCCTTTTAAAAATTTTGAAATATTTGCATAGATTCTACTGGTTGGCATTTCTAATTGAAACTTGTAGAGTTTCAGGTTTTAGGGCATCTCATTCTCTGGACGTTGGGTTTACAGATGTACATCTTGCACAAGCAACTCTCAGCATGGCAGAAATTGTGCTGTGTGTGAACCCTGGTTTTCCCATTGCTGCCCTGCAGCAGAAATATCCTCATTTTACAGGTGGGGATATTGAGGCTGAGAGGCTCCCTTAGCATTCAAGAGGGCATTTGCACATAGGATTTGAATTCAGGTGTGTTTAAGTCCATCCCTATCTTTTCACTTCCACATCTTCTAAATATTCTGTAAAGGGAAGGTAGAAAAGGCAATAAAAACAGAGCTTCTACTATGTACTATGTATTGGGTAAGTTGCTTTTACAAGTAGAAAAAGTGAGCTTAAGCAATTTATCCGAAGTTCAGAAACCTAGAAAGCTGCAGAGTTAAAATATGAATAATCACAATATTTCTGAGTGCTGGAACTGAAAATACTGTTACCATCATATTAGCTACGAATGTTGCTGTGTGCTCACGTATCATCTGTTAACAGCCTTGGTTTTCAACACAGAGCCAATAGCACAGGATCAGAAATGGAGCTCCAGAGTGGAGTTGGGTATAGTCTTTGCCTCTGTGCCCTAAGGTTTTGTGTATTTCCATTTCTTGCTTAGGGACCTTGTTAAATGCAGACTTCGATAGGTCTTGCCCTAGACTCCACATCAGCATCTCCAAGAGTGAGGCCCAATGAGCTAAGTAGTTACCAAGATCTCCCTCCTCCCAGGAACTCTGTGTATACTCAAGTTTTAAAGTCACCGCTCTATATAGCAGCAGAAAAATGAATTCACAGCACTGCATTAAAGCAATTTTTCCTTATTTCTATCAGAGTGCAATTAAGTGAAAGAAAGAGTACGAAAGCTGATAGTAGGAAGAACAACTGACAAATTCAAAGTTTGGTACAGATTAGTATGAACCTGCTTAGAAGTCTCTCCTTGTCTGTTCTCCAAAATGATCTCCCCCAGCTCAAACTCTTGTACTCAGTTAATTCCTTTGGAAATTATAGTCACCTCTTAGTATTCCTGACTAAGCCAGGTATAGTTAGTATTTATTACTCTGTTCTACATTCTGTATGTGTTACACATACATGAACACACATATATATTTCACTGGGTAAAAAGACAGAAGAGGGGGACGAATTTCCTAAGTGCTTATGCTATATGCTCTGGATTACATGTCCTTAAAAAATTTAAAGGTTATCTTTTATAGTTCTCTATAAAAGACCTCAAACAGCATATCCCTATTTATAGAATTATATTTTCATTTCAATTTATTTTGTTGGTACTTATACTGAAATGTTTCCAATTTTCATTAGATTTAAAAAATGAAATACTAAAAAAAATAATAGCCTATCACTTTGCACATCCAAAACCAATTTCAAGTACCCTAAGCAAGAATGTAGCTTATTACTAGAAACTGCCTACAAGATGGTAAAATTCACCTGATAGGCAAGCTTGATGTTCTCAACAAGTAAGAAATGAGGCTACAGGAATAAATCAAGAAACTGCTGGCTGTTAGAATAAACCCAAAATGGTTGTGGGTATAAGAACCTTTTCCGATTTAAACATTTAACGAAGTTATTTAAATGCCATATACACCCAGCATAACACTTAGAACTATTCTTTATATAGCAATTGTTATTAAAAATATAGTAGTATGCAAGTGGAAAACTAATTGAAGGCATTACAATTAAAGTGATTTCCCCTTCGTTCCATCAGAATGCAATTAACTGAAAGAAATAATATGAAGGTCAAAAGTAGGAAGAACATTTGCAAAGTATTAGGTATGATACTGATTACCATGGCTGCTTGGCAGTCTCCAACAAGGGTACTCATTGGTATATTCCATGATTCACATATCCACTTAGACATAAACATGTCTAAGTGTGCTTATACAAAAAATGTTCATGGAAGTTTTCTTAACAATAGTCCTAAATCTCAGATGATTCAATATCCATCAGCAGTGATAAATACAGAACTCAACGGGGCAAGACCACCCTGCTGGAATACTACCACCTGGTAAAGAAACAATCACTGTCCTGTTAATGGCAGGTATTAATTTCATAGGCCAAATGCTGAATGAAAAAAGTTAGGCACAAAAAAGATGTATTACAGAGTTTCAGTGGCAGGAAGGTCAAAAGCAAGCAAAACTACCCTCTGATTAAAATAGTTACCATGCAGGGTAACACGTTACTCGGTAGAAAGTGTCATAAAGGACTTTCTGGGGTGACAGAAATTTATATCTAGCAGAAATGCACTGAGCTGCACATTTAAGATTTCTATGCTTTGCAATATATCTTAGAATTTAATTGTTAAAAGTTTAAAAAAAATACAGTATCACGTTCCTCAATGTCTAGGTTAAACTAAGCATTTGACTGTGACTCAGGAACGGTTAGTGTTCAAATGCACGGCCCATGTACCCAGTCCTTAAAGTTGGTTAGGCTCTGACTACTGATAAAACAACAATCAAGATCCATATGAGAAGCTGAGCTGGGTGTGGTGGCGCATGCCTTTGGTCCCACCACTCAGGAGACAGAGGCAGGTAGAACTCTGTGAGTTCAAATAAAAAGATGCATATGAGAAACTTAGCAACTGTTATCATTTATGTATTGAATGATGACTTTGAGCATTTAAGACAAAAACTGATATACCTTTATAAAAGTTGCATTTCAATAAAAAGTTTAAAAGTACAAAGTGTTGACTTTTTAATTATAGTACCCAAATTCCTAATTTTATCCCAGGCAGGAGACTACTGAAGGCACTTTGCTGAAGCCACAGTGCGAAGTTTATACTGTGTGGACTACCCAACACCCTCATCCTGACATTATCAATGACTTCATTCTGTCGTGACTTCACTCTGAACCAAGCCCTAGCTCAGATGCAGTCACTGGCAGGGAAGCACAATACTGAAGCATCTCTAGAATGATCTACTCTATGATGATGTTCAGGAACTTATACTTGGATGTGGTCACTGGCAGGGGGGCATGATACTGAAGCATCTCTAGAATAATCTACTCACATTTATGATGATGTTCAAAGACTTATCATCAGGAAGAAAGATGCACACGCTGCGGCGGTCCTGCATGATTCTGTTGTTGTGGAAGTTCAGTTTGTTCATGGTGTTGTGGGCTCTCCAGTAGTTGGGCTGGGCTCCAAGTGCTCAGCAATGACTCAGGCTCCCCACACTCCAAAGCCAACCTCTCCTCCTCATCATATGCCCAACAGCAGAAGCATCACGGTGTTCCACTCTGTAGGTTTCATAGTTGTAAGTCCAAAGGAGTGCCTGTGAATAAAGGGCAGAAGCTGGTGAGAGCAAAATAGAGGCCAGTGGCAGATAGCTCCTGGAGCAAGCACAGGAACATATGTGTCAAGCTAAGGCTGCCACACTCAGTACTGAGAAGGCAAAGATGCATTCTGCATTTTGCCCACTGACAACCATATTAATACTTCATGCTCAGCTATAAATTAACAGAATCATTGAGAGTCTTGACAGTCAAGGATGGACCAAGCACCATAAATGTGACTTTGAGAAGTCTCCAGTCTCACAAGGGAGATGGCTTATAGCTCCAAGAATGAAAAAGTGTCAAGAGAAGAATCAACTAAAGCCTCTCTTCCATTACTACCAAACTCAGATGAAACTCTTGAGCTCTTACATCACAGTCCTGCTCAATTGTTTTGGTCCCTTACTTCACCAACTGGTTCTAAAAAGGAAGCCATGACCTCTTACACCATCCAAGGGAGCCACAGGAGGCACTGTAACTGATTTCTCTATGGAGTTTACCATGTTGTTTGTGTAGAGACCTCTCTCATATCTTGTCAGTTTGTTAGACATTAAGTTTAACTTTCTTAGACTTATCTCAGGCTTTGGATGTATACAGTTTTGCTTGTAAGCAATGGGAATTTTATCTCCAGTGCTCACCAATCACATCTTTCACTTCTGTTTCCTGGCACTGGTGAGGCCTTACAGAAGAATTTAAAGCATTGGTGAATGCTTCCTACTTTGGGGTAGTGCTTCGTGTGTTGCTGCTAGCAGGATTCAATCTCAGGAAGAAGACTAGCTGTCACTCGTGACATTAGTATCTACATTACCCCTATCCAGCTGTATTTGTAGGATATAAGAAGTCCAGGAATATGAAGTTTTTTTTTCCTAGGCAGAATCTTGGCTTATTTGCTCCCTAAAGTTAATTAAATGTTCATTTATTTTCAGCAGAAGAGAAAATATATTCATATATGATATTAGGAGTAACTATAACTAGGGATTTTTAAAAATGACTAAAATGCCACGTTCAAGGGACTATTCAAAACTAAAACAGACAGAAATTTTATATATGGCATTTCCTTCTTAGGAAGGGGACCATCCATTTGGACACTGTCTTCCTTACAGGAGAAGGGCACTGGGCTCCAGCACACCCTTGGAGGCCAGGGCTTATACTCCTCACCAGAGTGGATGCTCAGGCCCTGTGTTCCAGGACCACAGACTAAACGCTCCCCAAATGTAGTCACGTATCTAGAGAGTGCACCCTAAAGCACCAACTAGAGGGCAATGCGGGCTACGTGGGAATCACCTGGGGTTAGTAATAAGTGTCCAGTGACACTTCTACTCATGACAACTGCCGGGCATTGTTGCTGTGCATGTGGAGACTTCCACTTCATTAAAGGGAGGAACCGAGCAGAGCATCATGAGTCCACTGTACTCCTGAGCACATGCTGGGAAAAGAGGCTGGCCTGGGAATGAGCAACACCAGAGTGCGGGGGCTAGCATCATTGCTAGGACTGAAAATGTTCTCAGCATTTTCAAAAGTATACATTCCTGAAACAAGCCAGGAATGCTGATGCAGGCTCATAATCTCGGCACTTGGGAGGCTGGGGAAGGATAATCTGAGTGCATTCCAGGCTAGTCTTAGAAATAGCAAGATCTTGTTTCACAGCAAAGAATAAGCCGGTGTGGTTCTGAACACCTGTAGTCCTAGCAGAACTGCAATCAGAAGCCCAACTGCTGTCAGCTGAGACCAGCTAGCTGGGGCTAAATGGCAGACCTGGTCTCAAAAAACCCAGAGTAAACAGGTCAAATGTGCATACTAAGAGCACTTTCCTAGATGCAGTCTAGGGATAAATATTTTTGTTACGTGCTGCCCCCACTTATGCCTCCTTCAAAAATTCAGAAAGTATTAAAGGCTCTAAGAAGACACAAGAGGCAAGCCCCAAGTCTAAATAGGCACTTCACACATTTATTGAGCATAGACTACTTTTCTCTCCAAAGTATTTCTATTAAAGTCCCGGAGGACAATATTCTTATGCACATCATTTGAGAAACGAAGTTCTAAAATGATGTCTTTCCGTAGTAGATTCAACGGCAAAAGTTTTTCCTGTATATTGGTATCGTCTAATATTTAGGCCTCCTCTTTCCTATATAAATTATAACCTACAATTAAATGTATCTTATTTAAATCAAACCCGTGACATTAATCCCATTATAATTCTTATTTAATTTCAAATTAAGATAGGTCTACACTTTTCCACTTCTAATTAAACCAATTAAAGCATGATATTTCTACTGACCCAGTTTCTGGAATTTAAAAATTAAGCTAGGGAAAAAAGTCTTCTGAGGTTTAGGATGTTTCAAGAGCTTCATTAAAATAAGCTGAAATTCTCATCTGGGTGTAATTTTTATTTTATGGTCAGGTACAAAGTACAGACGAAGTCTGGAGCAGGGCGCCTGCCGCAAACACACTGAGAGCCAAGTTTAGAAGTGGCACTGCTTCGCCATCGTACTTTCCACTTAGAGGGTGAAAAACCAAGATTGCCCTAAAAAAGAGAAAGGATTAACGTTTCACTTTACCCAAGACAGCATTAAAGCTAATTTAAAAGTTCCACTAGGGGCTGGAGAGATGACTCAGTGATTAAGAACACTGACTGCTCTTGCAGGGGACCCGGGTTCGATTCCCAGCACCCACACAACAGCTACGAACTGTCCTTAACTCCAGTTCCAGGGGCATCCGAAGCCCTCTTCTGACCTCCAGGGCATTACACGACATGGGTGCACTCACATACATGCAGGCAATACACTGGTACACATAAAATAAAAATAATAAAATAAATTTTAAAAAAAGTTCCACTAAAAAAAAGCAAAGCCAAAACAAAAATTCATCTCTAATACATACCAGTATAAAATTCCATCTTGAACTGGACAGCTCTGGGGAAAACTAGACTAATCTTTATATCACTTTGAGCTATAGAAATCAGGTGCTGGGCCACTTGGCTTGTGTTCTAAGCTGAACCGTAGCTCGGCCCCAGGAGACTCTACCTTGGAGTGATGACTCTTTGTCCCACAGTCTATGGACAAAGTAGTCAATGACAAAAGACTGTGTTCAGTGTCAGACCCCACCCTTGCCATTTTTATTAATTCTCAACCTACAAAAAAATGTATTAAGCTATAAAAATCTTCTTCCCCCTTGAATTTGTACCTACATAATACAGTTTAAAATGGAAGCCCAAAAGGATTCTTAATCTGGGATTATCTCCCTAAAATATAAAAATATGATCATTTGATGAGATCATGTGGGGCAAACATGATTAAGCAGGCGCACATCAGCAGGTGGTATGGCGACTTTATTACCTAACAAAAACAATGAAAATTACTCTGGAAAATGGATTGTAGAGAACCCTACCTTTTAATTTAACTGTTGTACATTTGTAAAGCTTAGGTCACACACTGAGTACTTGACTGCGCATTTGCTGAAAAGCAAAACACAAAAGCTAGTCTCCCCTCTGCTGTGAGATAACTATTCAGTTAAGGACACTGTCAAGAACCTGGAATACTGCCTCATTCCCAACAGCACATACATGGGTGGGCAGTGCCATGTTGCGGCCGCTGCCAGCTGCCCCTCCACTCTTCTGGTGCTGGATGCTGTTTCCGGGCACCACTCCTCCGCTTGCTCGGGCACCACCTGCGATTACACGGGCGTCACCTGCAATCACACAGGCGTTGCTCTTCGCTCCTCACTGAGGCCGCAAGCTGTGGTCACTCTTCCACTGCTTGGCGCTAAGGCCGCTCTTCCACACTCCTGGTGCTGCCTCTGATCGTCACTACTTCTGCCAGGTCCCGGACCCCAGGGCTGGTGGGGAGACTGTGTCAGTGGAGCCACATTCAGACACAGGAGACCAGTTTTGTTGATGGCAGATCCAGTTTATTGTAGAAGGGCACAAGCTTATACAGGGGTGGGGGTCCAATCAAGAAGTTACAACTCAGATCTTTGGCAGGGCTGTATCCTATCATGACATCGTGAGCCAGACACCTCATTAGCATAATGGGTTCCAGGTTACTGAGGTTCCGATTTCCTTATGGGGCCTGGTTTCCTGGGACCCACGTGACCCAGGCTAAGTGTTCCAATTTGGGGTCTCAAGGGTGGTGACTAAGGAGTGGCGGGCTCTAGGCATCAGTCTCATGATCTGCCAATGGGAGCAAATGTCAAAAGGCGTTCTTTGTGGCCCCGGTTCAGCCACTACCTCAGGCCTGCTGTATGGCTGTCAGTAAGACTTTCACCCTAAGCTCAAGCCTGTCTCCCACACCACATCAGCTCAAGGGAAGATATAATGAGTGACAACTTTAAGTACACAAATATAATTTATTCTATATGCTATACTACTGTGGTTCAAAAGCATTTTACAATAAACAGCATACTGATTTCACTGTATGATATATAGTCTTAAAACAATTATCAAATGTCTTTGGTAAAATGAGTTCCACTGTTTTGATCATTAATTTATTCATTAATCTAAAATAAGTGCATTAAGCACCTACTATATTCAAACATTGTCAAGGCTAAGGACATCACTAAGCAAAATAGATATCGTGTTCGAATAGAGCCAGGTACATACAGTAGACCAGAGTAGGTGAGATGTGTTGACCCTACAGCCATGCTGTGGTTGCTGTGTTATATCAGGCAATGGGATGCCTTCCTAATGGGCCATTTAAGCAAAGAAGAGGGGGATGTAATTCCTTCCTTACACCCCATCCTACCCACCTACTTGTTTATTTCAGGGAAGAATGTTCCAGGAAGAGAATGATAAATGCCATGGTTCATTCACTGCTTGGCACAGGTAAAAATAACCATGCTAATGATGGCTAATGCTTGCTACAGGCTTGCTGGGTGCCAGGCACTGCTGCTAAGCACTTGTGGTGCAGTGAAGAAAGCATCCACTTCTTTGCCATGCTTCCTGGTGAGGGGGTGAAGGGGTGAGGGTGAGGTGCTCCTTCTTCCCTGAACTTTGGTGGGCTGTGTG